TTAATGCCAGATACGTTTATCTTTCTTGCTTCAGGCGTGGTGGTGTGGTGTATGTGTGTGGAGGTGTTACAATAATTGATTCTTCATATAAACAAGTCAATCATTCCAAAAGTGGAATGAAAAACATTCAGATATTAAACGGAAAAATTTACTCAACCAGGAGTCAATCAACCGGAAGTAGGATAGAGCGTTAAGTCAACAAAACAGTTTTGTAGAATAATAAAATTATGTAAAAAAAGAAAGAAAATCTATTCGTGAGAAAGAAAAACAAGCGATTCTCAACAACTCTCGAATCATTAAGAGAATGATCCTTGCAGGGTTGCTAAACGCTTTTGGTGCCAGAAGAGAACATGTTTCTTTTTTAACACTCGAAACAAAATCATTAAAATTAGTTTACTTAAAGTAAATCCCAATAGGTCTTTTTAAGTGGTGTAGATTATCAACTAGAGTAGATGACGTGTCGTTACTCCATTGGTGAGATATAACAGAAATGCATTCTGAAAATAAACATTTTGGCAATAATTACTCTCATTACTTGAGCTTACTAGTTTACTGATGGTTAGCACAGTAGAATTCACGATGCGGGTTTTTTTTTCTCTTCGTTGGAACTCTTCATCCGGATGTATCTGATTTTTCTGCTGTGACTCAAACTAACCACTCAACGCGATAAATGCTTAAGACATAATCACTAGGCTACCGAGCGACGTTATTCATCTGGCGTACAGAGAATATGACTTTAAATTATTTGTTCCTACTTGTGTCCTTGTTTGTGCCAGTGATACATTTGGATCGAAATTTTCTGTGATGGTTTCGTATATAGGCCTCTTGGAAGGAATAGATACCACGGTCAAGTGACCTTGGATTAATCAATCATATTCTTCTATGTGAAATGTGGATTTTACTGTATAAAAAAGTATACTTATAAGATAAAAATTAAGTTTACGGGGTATTTATCTCTGATATGCTGTAAAAGACTGGTCCAGTTTCTCATAGGAGTGTCTACAAAAATGTATGAAATCAATGTCGATACAAAATTCAGCTTAGTGGCTGTGTATCATATAATTAAGGAAACCATTTACCATTTTTATACGCCTTTTTAGATGGATCCGAAATCCTTCAATAGAATTTGCATGTGTTCCACTTAGAAGATTTACTAATTCAGGGGAATGGTTGACTTAATAATGAATATAGCCTAATGATATTAGTTGAGAATAAGCTTTCCACTTGTCTGTGTGAATGGTAGTGCTCGGAATGACTGGTCATTGTATTAATGATATTAAAACGTCGGCAATTCTGTCTGGGATGCTTTCTACTAACCCTTTTCGAAGATTTGTATATTGCAGTCCCATCACCTAAACATGGTTTGCCACTGTCCTACCGTGATTGATTTTTCATTTTATAGATACTGTTTCGTCACTGTGAACGACGACATTAATTTTTCCAAGTACACAGATAATTCCACTGATATTTTTTCAGGCTGTATCCCTACTTTGCTGATACAACTGCGATGTTGATACTTTAGTATTTTCTGTTTCTGCAACTGTAGCAGATACTGATCGTCTCAGTGGCCATCTGTGGCACATACATAATATTTTAGTAAAGCAGAGTCTCGATTTCGAAAAGAAAGTATCTAGAAAATCACACTAATGTACCATTTACCAATTCTAACAAACTTCCTGCTATGATAGCCCAGTCGCTTATGGGGAGTCACTACCCCTCTATGTATGCTTGTTTTAGTCCACCTTATCAACCCATTTTCCATACAGAAGTAAAAAAACCGAATCTGGATAAAGCTTGCAATAAAGGTTATAAAGAGCACCCATTTGTAATGCTGATCAGCGATCTGATTAAATGGTTCAATGTCATTTGAATGTGGTACCTATTCGTTACTCTTGTTGGCTTCTTGAATGGATACCTCAATACTACACTGATTTGGCATGGACAAAGGCCATGCTTATCGAAAACTCTCGACATTTTTTATCATTGATATAATCTACACGGGAGGCTTGGGGAATACAATATTAAGATCAGTGAATGTATTCGCTAGGCATTTAATTAAGCGAGTGTCTTGTCACCGAAAAACCATTTACCTATCAGTCACAATATTTCATTTTTTACTGTTTAAATGAAAGTATTAGTCATTAGAATAAGAGAAAATACATTTGAATGCTTTTCGTGAATAGCACACAGTGAGTTTTAAAGGAAATCATTTTGTCACAAGTAGTAACCATCCGCAAAATAATAGAAAACATGTGAGAGATTTACAGTTACTATTCGTTGGAATTGTGAATATGAAACCGCTTGTTATTATGGGTTTCGGGGGAAGCTTCAGTATCCACAATGTGATTCGCAGTCATTGAGAAGGAAAACTTTCTCTTCTTTAGCTGCGTACACACAATCTTGAGTTTTAGTTTTAGTGTATACCAGTTACAAATAAACATAGCATAAATTTATCCATTCTATGGTGCAAAAAGTACTCACAGATATTATGAAACTTTCTCTACTACATAAGCATGTAGTATGTGTAAAAGAGACAATACAGTCTTTATGGGTTCTACGACTACTATGACAAACAGTAGATAACAAGTGGAACTACCAAAGTAGGCCTCGACGTTATAAAAGAATTAACCTGTATAAGTCTTTTCTTTAAAAAAGCACTTAAATAATCCTTGCTGCAATGAGCAGTAGGCTTAATGGAACATCATACATTGGATGATAACTACAATGTTTATGGTTCACAATTATTTACTTTTCTGTCACTCATGTGGTATTGATTGGTAAAACTTTCTAAGAAATACTAAAGTTTCGAAGTCGTGTGATTACAATTGGTTTGGTTATGAACAATAAATTGTGTTCGAAACGTCACCCAGTAAATAATACTATTTCACTGACTGTGTGATATATCTAATAGACAAACTAATATGGAGTTTCTAAGATTGCTTTGGTTTATCGGGTTTATTCGGTGCAGCGATGATGGATGACTAGAGGGTAAATTGACTAATGATATGCAGGTGAATGAGACAACTCCATTTCTAATCCAGGCTTTCCTTGTATCCCTGGTTATCACCATATTAATTATTTGTATTATGATCAGAAAAGATGTTAAAGTTAAATTGTACGTATACTGTTTGTTTTTTCTTAGTGCTAACTTGTAAATTTGGTGGAGTGTTTGCACTCTTCTAAATTAACATACAAGTATGCGTCTAATTAATTTGTATATCTTTAGGGTATTTCTAGTTATGATCTGTTGATTGGTTATGAGACTGAGGTAAATATTTTAATGCGTTTTAAAAATGTGGACGATTGCTGTAGCTGTATCTATATTTTTTAAAATTATCAAATATTCTACTTGTAAGTAGGCTAAATAAATCACTGAAAATTTCTTTAATTGAGCGTGTAAAACTGGTGTTATGACCTTGTCCAAATTGATCAGCTTTGACAGTTAGAAGTTTTCATCCCTTTTTCTACACTGACACTTAATCAGAAGATAATGAATGCAGACAATATTTTTCATAGGTCAAGTGGGTAGGGGGATCAAGACGAGGAGTAATTCCGCTTGAGAAGAGATGAAATCTTGCATTGAATTTTAAATACACCATTTATTTCAATTCTTTTTGCTCTTATCACTTCCACATATTTTATATCTGTGAGTTGCAGTTCCTCCTTTGGCTCTTAATGAATCTCTGTGCATGTATGACAAAGGGGATATATCGTATCATAATCAGTCTGAGTTAACTTTTCGTGTTAAAATCTATGCAAAAATACAATCATATACATATGCAAATATTTGGACAGCTTGTTATGAAATTTATGAACTAAGCAGATATCAGTTGCCCCATATATAATAACATAGATTGAGTGGTATTAGTGACCGATATTTTCAGGTCGGATTATAAACTATACATGTGAAAATAATAAAAGCACCTAAATTGGATTCTATTTGATAAATCTTGTACTAGAATCCAGTGTGAATGAAAACAGGTCAGATGAGATATTTTTTATGACTGTCAGGTGATGCACAACGGAAAAGTGTATACAAGAGCAAGACTACTATCACTGATGATTTAACTGATTATGGTGGACTGGATTGTGTATCAGACCGTGCACAACGAGCAAGAAGATGAGAATACGTTGAACTAACAAGGAGACTCTAGAAGATCTGGACTTCTCACATGTGACTTATGTCTAATGTCATATAAACTAGAAGATATACAGGCGAAAACCAACAACTTGGTAGCAGCAAAGATGTGATTTGAAGCGGACTTAGGAGAGGCGACAACAACAACAAGCACGAGTCACCAAAGTAATCAATTTGAAAGAGGTCGTTCCCTTCACCGATCTAAATAGGATCATCTTAACTACAGGTGATAGCACGATGAGGACATCAAAACCAAAATTAGAAAAGTAAGGCAAACGTTCATCACGCTAAGGTCAGTGTGGAAATTTTTTTCACCTCGCCTCTGTATAAAGAACAAAATTCGGATTTCCAACACCGATGTTAAGTAACTCAGTTCATCTATATGGATCAGAAACATGGCGTGGGCGTTACGAATAGCATTCCATAAAGGCTACTTCAGACTTCTATCAATATCTGTATTCGCTAGCTCCATATCGAGGATCAGACGAGAGAAAACTGACATGAAACTCTGGGGACGAACTAACCAAGAACCTACTGCTCAACAAATATGTAGATGGAAATGGAGATGGATAGGACAAACAGCCAGGAAACTGTTGGAGGACATTGTGCACCAGGTCAAAGCTCGAGCGTAACCCAAATGTTAAATGACGAATTTGGCGTAAGTCCAAGTATGGCATGGCAGAAATCTTGCGAGGAGGAAATGAGAGACTGTGGGCAATGGTGGGGCCATTCGAAGAGGACTAAGGACAACAGGATAAAGTGGAGATTAACTGCTGAAACATTATGTTCCACTCGCAACCCAAGGAGACAATACTGCTAGTAAAATAATTTCATTTTTAATACTAGAAAAGAAAGGTCTTACCGTCATAACTTAAAATATCTCGATACAATATAACAATTGTTTCATTCAATCTTTTAATCTCTTCAAATAATTCTTTATCATTTAAAGATGTTTCAGGTACTCCTATTGCAGTTGTTGTTGGTTTCGATGTCGATGAAGGTCCTGATTTAATCGGTCCAAACACAGATTCTAGCATTCCCCATAATTTAGCAACTCTTGCCTGGACTAAATTGTAACACGCTGGACATGGTAAACAACCAGCCTGTAAGTTGTAATGATTCTCCTATAAATTAAACCAATGCATAGAAACATGTAATAAGCTTTTTATAATAAAAAACGTTCAGAGAAATAGTTGTCGAAATTGTAAATTTCAACTCACCAGAAATCATTTGTATTGCTCATTAATCCAAGAATAACGTATTCATAACATAACACATTCATCAAGGTATCTCAATTGAAACAATAGTCTACAGAATAATCTATGCAGACTTCAGCTGATTAGCCTTACGAGCGCCAGTGGTTAGTAGCTTCAGTATGCAGGTTTACTAAAATTACCTCAAGAAGGAATAATTTAACCCATGGCTATAAAGGCAGTCAGAAACGAACTCATTTCCGACCGAGAACTTGAACTTAGAACCAAAGTACCACTTGAGGTTATAATACTGGGAGTAAAGCTATGCCTGGCTTCCACAGTATTTAAATTCCAAGGGAAAATATACAAACAAACTGAGGGAGTTGCTATTGGGTCACAACTATTCCGGTTGTGGCAAATATATTCACGGATAGGTGGGAAAAGTTAGTGACTGAAACGTTCACTTCCACCCCAAAAGTGTGGTGGAGGTATGTAGATGACACATTCATCGTACTTAGAACACAGGATACAGATAGATTTTTCAAACACATTAACTCAAAGGTGGAGGCAATTCAGTTCACTTATGAATTGGAAAGTCAGGAAGGAGAACTTCCAATGTTAGATTGTAGAGTAAAAAGGAAAGAAGACGGGAGGTTAAGCACTAGGGTTTACAGGAAACCCACACATTCAAACTGGTATTTGGACATCCGATCGTCACATCCTATGTCAGTGAAAATAGGACTGGTTAGATTTTCAATTAATAGAGAGAAAAAACGAGGCAGTATCAAGGAAAATCTAAGACAGGAAGCTTTGAAAATTAATAACTACCCTGATAAATTATTCAGAAAGTATGTAGGGAACTGTAAAATTAAAATAAATAATGATAGTAGTGATAGTGATGATGATAATAATAATAGTAATATGCATGTCAAACAGGCGCAGAATGATGACAACACCAACAATAGGGAATACAAATCATCAGTGATACTTCCATACAAAGAAAGGATCTCGGAAACCTCAGATATAATTCTTAGCAATGGAAGAATAAAAGTAGCAGCCAAGCCCACAAACTCAATCAGAAACATGTTTTGTCGGCTAAAGGATCCTGTGCAGCCTTTAAAACAAAGCAATTCAGTTTGTCTGATACCTTACAATGATTGTCAGGTCAAATACATAGGTCAAGGTAGTAGAACAGGGGCAGTCAGACTCTCTGAGAATGAAAACCTAACAAAATTTAGATTAGTTGACCCGAATAAGATAAAAAATTCTGGAAAATAGTTCAGCTATATCACTCACTACACATAGCCATACAATAGGATGGGATAAGGTGACAGGTTTGCAATCTAAGGTAACAGCGTGAGGGAGAGATTTATAACGGAAGCTTTGCTTATCGAATCAATTGCAAACACGTGTAATAGGGATGATTCAACACCTGTCCCAGATATCTGGAAAGTTTTACCACCACGCCTACGACGACAAATAGGAGGAGACAAAGAAAACTATAAAACTCAAGTTTTGAAGTCGTGTGATTATAATTGATGATATGATTATGAACAACAAATTGTGTTCGAAACTGTGTCATCCAGTAAATAATAATACTGTTTCCCTGTGTGATATGTCTAATAGACAAACTAATGTGGAATTACTTAATAAGACAGTGCCCAAGTTTTGTACATTTATTTATAACTTTAGTTATGGCAGTTAATCATTTTTGTTACTACCCGTTTCGTGGGAAAAATTTTTTATAAGTGTGATTGTATAGCTGAAGGGTAGAGTGGATCAGCAAAGAAGAGCCTCTTCGCTGAACTATGTGTTTTGTTTCCACTAATGTCTGCATGGGGATTATTCATGAATCGCTTTTTTCTGACATCCAGTTTTGATCATTGTAGTGCAATTGGATTCCCTTTGACTATTTGTATACATGCTTTTTCAGAATACCACAGCATCAGCTGATTCACTTTTGGTGAACACTTTTATATTGATAACTATGTTCTGTTCATTTGTCGCTTAACTGTACATGAGTCAGGTGAATAGCAATGTACGAGAAGAAACCATTAACTAATAACTTATTTGATTTGAATACTTTGGATGATTATATCATTTAGTCTCGATTTATAAACATTTAGCACTGAATATTAAAAAAGACACAAAGCGACACTCGATCAGATTGGACAAGCACTAAAAATAAATACTTAAGTTGGAAGTGCAATACATAATTCAAGGGATAATTCAGTATTTGGGCTCTTTTTATCTATGAATTCGTTTTTACGAGTTTGACCACTTATTGAAATCAGTTAGAGAACCACTAAAAACCAATAAGGACTACTGGACAGCTGCTGTTTCATCCTAGTTTCGGAATCGTTGGCGGTGCGCACCCACTGAGGTTGGAACCCAGGACCTTCTGGTTACAAGGCAAGTTCGTATACCGTTCAGCCACTGGGACCCGACTCAATGACTACCGCATGAATTCTAACTTCTACCAATTCGTGATTTAGCGCGACCGCCAACCGATGTCGCCAGTGGAAACCCCATCCTCACAAGTGACTGGATGGACCTCACTGGTCACAACTCCTCACTAGAACTCCAGGAAACTGCGTAAAATATAGGAAGTCACAGGCGAGCATCAGATTAATTTTCAAGAGTTGGTTTGTAGTTGGTTGATGGTCGCGCTAAATCACGAATTGGTAGAAGTTAGAATTCATGCGGTAGTCATTGAGTCGGGTCCCAGTGGCTGAACGGTATACGAACTTGCCTTGTAACCGGAAGGTCCTGGGTTCCAACCTCAGTGGGTGCGCACCGCCAACGATTCCGAAACTAGGATGAAACAGCAGCTGTCCAGTAGTCCTTATTGGTTTTTAGTGGTTCTCTAACTGTTATCAATGTGTAGTCAAAGTCATCAAAACAAATGTAATCCTCACAAACCAACTCTTGAAAATCTATGAATTCGTTGAAATGCAGTTTACTGATATAAGTCCAACCCGACTTTAGGCCAATGAATCCCAATCTAACTCCATTCCTGAGGAAATGTTTATTATGATAAAGTCTCCATCATGGAATTATACTCAATCACAGTGCCGAAGTTCCATTCTTATATCGAACTCAATCTACTTCAGCCAGAATACAGTAGGTAGTACCATGAGCCTTCATATATATACTATATATATGTACTACATGTGGTTGGAAGCTTGGGGTGAGAGCTGGCTGCTAACCAAATTGGTAGACAGTAATTTACGTCAATGTTTATGTCCCAAATATTGGTCATGTAAGAACAAGAACAAAGACTGACTCAACAATCATTTACAGCAGACTTTGCATAGGCGGATACGATTAGCAAATAGATGATCTGACGTTCATGAAACAACCACAAAGAGAATAAAGATTAATTTTCAGTGAGAAACAACCAATCAGAAGACTGTGTTTGTCTGCTAACAATAATCTATAGTAATGTACATGAAAATGTATAAAAAATGTGTTGATTTCCTTAATAAACGATCTGTTGCCTGGCCCTTGTCTTCTGTTGTTACAGCTAAATACATAGGAAATCTGCTCCTTGTAACGAAGGTCTAATTATGTGGAAATTCAGAAATTCGTGTATTAGATAAAGAAAACTTTCTGAGGGGATGAAATATAAAAATTGAACAAGTATTCCATGCTGCACACTAAATTGTTTTTAGCTTATTTAAACAGAATTCAGACAGGTTTTGCTATAGTCACTACTAATACTACGACTACAACTACTCAAATTAGTGGTACCTTGAAGACTGTGTCTTTTAATAATCTGAAGGTAGCCAGAAGTACTGAAGTACCCACTGTAACACACTTCAGTAAATTTCGTATGATGTGTTTGTTACCTTGACTTGTTTGTTATTTAGTGTTTCATAATTCACAAAGTAGAGTAAGAAACTACTAGTGTAGACTATACACAAATATTGTTAAAATAATTACTTTGCCTACGCAATAAATTCAGTCATATGATAATAATGCTAATATCACCTGACTTCATTTCTGTCTAATCACGAGGCTAAAGCTATTTGCTGCCCTGGAAACATTTTTATGTCTATGCAAAATTTAAATAATTATTTGGTCATCCAATTCATATTCAAACAACATCAGTCATTTAAGTAGAAAACAGGATGCTATATGAAGTATGCAGGATGTATGTTATAAGCTGTAGACTAGCAAAGTTCAGTAATTTACCTCGCGGAAACACGTCACCATTTTTCCCAAGACAGAAATATGCATTTTCTAATAGTGGATGCTAGAATAACAAAAGTAGGCATATAAGGTAAGACAGGTGTCGTTGTGGAGATCACTGACAGTCTGCACGAAGACTGAAATCAGAATCTTCAATTCTAATGTAATTCTAGCGTTTACATGTGGTTCAGAGGCTTGGAAAACGCGTCGCCTATGGCACTTCCCACCGAACACTGCACACTTCCCCTAACAGTTAACTCTGAGTGATAGTGAAGATCAGACGGTCGCAGAAGATAAACAACAAACAACTCTGGCACCAAGTCAGCCAAGAATCTGTTGCTCCACATATATGCAGGAGGGATATAGATGGATTCGCGACACCTCAAGGCGACCATTACGTGTACTCATACCCGAGACTCTCTGATAGAACCCGAATAAGAGAAGAGGAGTTGGATGACATTGTGACGATGTGAAGGGGAAATAAAAGCGTGTTAGTAGTTTTGGAGTAAGTTTAAACTAATAACAGAGAATTGAGATCAGTAGAGATGTGCTTCTTAAACCTTGTATTCCACTCCAAACTTGGAGAATGGTTATCAGTAATAGATGTCATCACGACCCTCAAAATGGATGCTCATCTTTATCCTTCACGAAGCACATTGCAGCAGCGACTGAGAAAGCTAGCATTAGAATTTATTTAACCTTATGCATAAAGCATCTTTGGGTCAAACCTATTTTAAGCGTTCAAAACTACTCGTTACTGCGCTAAACCTGCTTTCGTAATCAAGTTTAAAATATGAGGTTCACCAGCATATTTGTTTGGTTTTATTGTTTCCTTAATCTGTGATTATGAATGTCTTGTCAAGAAAGTGAGTAACTGAAAGAGTAAGGTTAGATAGAGAACTTACGAAAAGTCTGCAATTCGAAATATGAAAAATATCTTTTAAGACAAGTATGTTTATTGTAGTACCTAGATGGCCTAGCGGTAGAATGCTCGCCAACCACCCATGTGGTTCTGTGTTCAGTCACCGGCCGACGTACTCCGAAACTCCGGGAGTAAGCCCAGTGAAGAGGGAAGGTTGGGTATGAGGTCAAGAACTCTACTCCGTATAAATAAAACCACTGATACGGAAACTTCCTACTATGTACCATTCGGAACGCAAAGGAACAAAAAAGATAACTGGAGAAAACAAGACGATTGAGCGAAGGAATATTTAACTTTCAATTGCATACTCATCTCTGACTCTGCTCTATTATGCATCATTTTTAATACAGTACGTGACAATTTTATCTGTTTAATGGCTATAAGTTTGTTAACAGTTATTCCGAGTTCGTCTTCTACATCCGGCTGAAGCCATTGGAATCCACCTGAATAAGCTAAACCTGTGTATTCAGAAGAGATTCGTGCAGCCAATTTCATCACCTTGGCCATAGCTAGATGAATGTGAAAATCTGATAGTTCTCCTCTCCCTCTGAGGCTTTTATAAATCACCACAGGTCCAAATTATGCTAATATTTCCGACTATTTCATCTGTATTTACAAATTATTATTGTGGAAATTATTTTATTTTATTGACTTCATCATCCATGAAGTATGTCCACGGATTGTTATCAGTTAGAGAAACACTGAAATTCAAGGAGTACTGGACAGTTGGTACTCATAGACAGTACGTATCCACCAAAGGGCTTCTAACTCAAGACCTTTCGCTTCTAACATAAGCTTTACTTTTTTGTTTGCGTATTACGTAATCAACTTTACCACTCCCTGATTCTTTAATTACTCTTCATTTTTATCGAAAATAATGCATTATGCAATCCACTTGTTGGAATCGTTTACATCCCTAAATTCCTAATTACCACCCCCTGAAATATTGACATTGAATAGCCTCTGTTGTTTGGAGCATGCGGTGCTTCGATGATTTTGGCAATTTATTAGGTATCCGGTAGATGAAAGAGAAGGATTCTTCAACGCTGACTTTGTGGCCGGTTGGCACCAGATGGTCCAATACGTAACTGTTAATGGTTTTAACTACACCTTTGCTTAGCCATAGTGGGAGATTTTCTCGAGCACGAAAAATCAAGTTCCTAGAGCAGCGACCAATATAACTCGCTCCGCAAGCGTATTTGCGTCGGTAGATACAATTTGAAGTAGCTAGTCTAGGTACTTCATCTTTCAGTCGAGGCTATTGCAATTCTCCTAAAACAACCAATGCTTTGTGTTCAAAAGAAGCAATTCCAGCCCCTACTACTGCCCTGGCCAGCCTTCAGTAGAGATTATAAATTCATGAATTTGTAATATTATCTTTCCTAATTTTTATGGCATTCAGTTTATTTTCTGTTGATGCTACTGAACTGTAATCTGTTGATACTATTGGTTCTATGTTATTTAAACAACATTAATGTTGTTCATAACACTAATTCATTCATTCACTATAATGTATATAAAACTATAGAGCCTGATGATGAAGTTATCGAAAAGAGTGCTCTTTGTTCAGTATCCATTCTTTTGAAAATTTTGATGGGCATTTTTAATCAGTTGAATAATTATTGTCAACAAACTTATCACCACTAGATTGGTAAAATTATTTTGCATTGTACTAAAATTGCTACATGTATATATTAGAGCACAGCCAGCGATAAGAATCTAATTGTCAAGCAAATATTTCTTCGCTCAACCCTTTTGCCTTTTAAGTGTTTAAATGGGGAATTTTCTTTGTATTGGAGAGAAAATCTTTTTGGGAATTAGGGGAAAATGGCAAACACTTACTGACCAATACAGTCGTAAAGTGTTAGTGTACTTATCCGGGGACTAGGGGGCTTATTCGACTCTTCTATGGCGGGGTTAACAGGGTTTACCAAACCAGGATAAAATGGCTTTCCAGACAAAAAAAATATAACTTGATGTCCAATGTCCTTCTAGCTCATATTAATACCCAACTAAGTCTCCTACTACAAGCATTACTTAGTTATGTTTAAAAAAACTTTTATTCTCACCTGACACTGGTCACATTTTGGTCCAACAGCAAACGGCTTACAAATACACTGACCATGTTTATCGCATTGACTGCTTTCAGCTCCATAAGTGTGACAGTTACATGATTGACAACCTTCTAAACTAGTCATATTGAAATGCGCTGGTTGACATTTATCACACTGACGTCCAATTACATTTGGTCGACATTCACATTGACCAGTACGATCATCACAAGATTCTTTCACGGAACCAACCGAATTACAATCACATGGTTTACACCCCTTAAAAATGAAGTACATAAGAACCAGTTTATTGATAAAATTTATATATATAACTATACAATATGAAAATGATTAAGAAACTAGGAAAATTGATTTATTTGCTACAGGAACACAAGTTATCTGTATTTTGTGCTGAGCAGGTGAATTACCAATCAGATCGTTCCAGAATGTATAAACGTTTGTCAAAAATTACTCAGCGATCCTTGTCAAATGCTATAACGCAAAGTTTCTCCAAATTTCATGTTGTAAATTTCACTTTAAAAAACCATTGCGACTTATAAGAAGTGGTTCATTCTCATTCTAGTATCATATGGGCCACTGAAGTTGAAAATAAATTGAATCTTAAATGCCTTCGTCTGATCCTTCCTAGTCTTCCGAAATCATTTTAGTCTCCAGGAGATATTTCGTTTAACCTTCTACATAAGGAAGTTAGGAAAATCGGGTATCATTAAATCTCTCCTTTGTAAGTTTGTTAATTCATCTATTCTACCTATCCTTCTTAACTGCTCACCCTTAATGTTTCCTGGTTTTCTTAAGAAAGACTTTGTTACACTAAAATCTGTCAGAAGAGAGAGTGAGGTGTCGCTAAACCAACTTGTTAGTGTTGCTGTAGGTAGACACAGGGACATCTAAATGAAATTAGCAAATATTATCTTGTCGGACTCTGAGCACCCTTTTTATACACAACTCTCTCCTTGCATCTCCATCACTAGGGCAAACTAGAAGCAACTATAGAAGACTTTACGCTCAGACGACTAGGCATAAAAACTCTAAAGTATTTTCGCATATGACTACTTCAATGTGCATATATCAGTTCACCTGCTTGTGAGGAGCTAGGTAAATAGGTCTTTGTATACGGGTCTTTTCAAAACGTGTTAGAGAACATCATCCAGCATGGCTGCAAAGAGGAGGCACTGGTTCATCTCCAGGCGCCATAACTGAACACCTCGTCAATACCTGTCACATTTTAAGTTAAAAATTATTATTTCAGATTGTTTTCATGCTCATTTTGTTCACACCTGTAATTCGTCCTATCCCTGTGTAATTTTTGTATCTAAGCCTCTTATAATTCATATCAAGTTGAAAATAATTGTCACTTTCTATTCACCTTTAAAATTATTTCTCCACTTATCAAATATTAATTTTGCACACATTGTAGCTGTTTTCTAATCCTATGTAACTTATCTCTAAGCCCTTTGCAGTCTATACTCGTACCTTTAAACTTTCATATCAGGTTGAAAATTATTATTTCCTTCGTTACTATGTGGAATTAAATAAATTCATGGGCCATTGGATTGGGTCCAAGTGGCTTAATGGTCCATGAGCTAGCTCGCCTTGTAACCAGAAGGTCCTGGGTTCAAACCCCGGTGGGTGCGTGCTGATGAAGAGTCCCAAACTAGGACGAAACAGCTGCCCAGTACTCTCAGGTTTTCCAATGGTTCTCTAACCAACGTCAGCTCATGATGAAATCCTGTAACCAACCAATCAAATCCCTACAAACCAACACTTAAATAATTAATAATTGTATCCATGTAAACTAATGCATACAGATGCGATTGTACAGCTTTTGAAAATGAAATCGCCGAAGAGATGTCTTTGCTGAACTTCTTGTTCTTTTCCCTCTAAAACCATTTTTACTATTGCCATTATTATTAGAAATAACTAAACTTTATCTGTACATTTCGAATTATCCGTAGCAGCTGAGACGATTTAGCTTCATGTTGTCTAATTGAATTAGAGCCTAAGACTATAGTTACGTTTCATTTGGGCTTCGTGAGCTGTAGACGTCCAGTGAATGATGGAGTTCTCACTAACAGTCATGCCTAGAATCCATCTCTTCAAACACCTAATACGTTCATTGTCCACTGGGCCTTCATGGCCATTTCTTGTACAATGGATATCACTTTTCATTTATTGAAATTCTTATTTATGAATTTAGCGTTCATTGATTTTATTGTACTCAAATACTCGATCTGTGTCAACGCTATCAGGATGCTTTAAGACTGAACTTTTGATTGTCTATTTTTGAGATGCATTCTTCATCATAGTTGGTACTCACTATCATCATGAAAATACATTCTCTTTTAAAACTCCAAATATGCACCCGTTAAGTGTTCTAATTTAAGATATTAGAATAATTTTCTCCGTAGCTTTGATAATATTCATTATAGCATTCCCTTTAGAAACCTGTCGACTCTAAGTTATAAAGAATAACTTGCAGTTTCATTATGAATACAAAGAAATTTAAGTACTTTTTAAGGGTCAGCTAGGGATCACACTTAGTTAAACGATGAAAAGTACTCATTAACCACTGAAGTAGCTTGCTATTACTTTGGTTTCATTTTTTGAATCAAAGTCAACACCGTTGTCATAGAATATGACAGTTCTAGCAAAGAAAGATAGTATGGAAAACCATAAATAAATATAATATTTAATGATTAACTATTTTAGAAAATGTTTCCCCTAATTATAAAATCTAAAATGAACAAAAATATTCTCCTCGATGAATTCATCATCAGGTCCTGTATTTATATGACCATAATGATTACGGGAATATTCTTATCAACAACATCAATGCTTTTTTAAATTACATTGGATCAACAGTATCGATAGGTGATCACAGTTCAAAAGCATCAGTAAGAGACAGAAACTAATATGCAGTAATATAACAACACTAAATTGATTGAATATCAGATAAATTATGATAGGTAGCACAGAATTTATGAATTTATGGGATTGACAACAGGCCAGGTTAGCAATTGTGACTGGACTTGTTTCTTCTGCACATAGAGCCCCAGTTGTTCTAAGCTAATTGCAATGGCCTCTGCTGTTTTCAGTGTTCAGGTATCCAGAGGCCTTTGGTAATTTATTCGATAGCCTACAGATCATAGAGACAGACTCTTCAATGCTTTGTGGCCTGTTCGGAAGAGCTGACCCAATATAGAACTGTTGACTGTTTTAACAACACATTTATTTATTCCTAAGCACAAAAGCTAGGTTCCTAGAGCAACAGCCAATGCAGTTATGTCTACAGTAGCAGTTGAACTGATGGATACAATTAGAGGTAGCTAGCCTAGATACTTCATCTTTAAGTTGAGGAACCACAACCGGTTGTGTGGATCTATTTTGTCAACTTTTTGGTTATTATTTCACGTGATTTATCACCTTTGGATGACAGTCGTATATATAGAGGTTTCTTGTTCACAGATACAGAAGAATTTTTTTATCTGTATTGGTCGTGAACTTCATGATGAAATTTTCAGAGTAGCTATTTTCAGTTATCTTATCACGAATGATATTCCTAATTGTGGTGGACTGACTGGATTATGCGTCAGACGGTGGGAAACAAGAAGACAGGGATATCCTGGACCGACGTGAAGAACCTAGAAGATCTGGATTTCGCGCGTGGATGATTTATGTTTGATGTCACTGTCACAAAATCGAAGACTTACAAGCGAAAACCGACAAACTGGTCGAAGAAACAGCAAAGACAGGACTCCAGGTAAACATAGACAAGAAGGAGGTTACGAAAATAACCAGCCAACAACAACAACAACAACAGCAGCAACATCCAGCGCCAATCACCATCACAACGGGAAGGACTTGCAAGGGTTACTTCATTCACTTATCTAGGGAGCATTGTCTCAGCTACAGGAAGTCGGAACGAACGAGGGTGTCAAATCGAGAAACGGGAAGGAGAGAAACACATTCATCAACCTGAAACCAATCTGGGAATCTTCGTCACTTAGCATCAACAACAAAATTCGCTCGGATTTTCAATACAAACGTCAAGTCAGTCAGTTCTTCTATATTGATCAGAAACTTGGCGGAGGGGCACAAAGAATATTTCCAACAGCCTGTTGCAGACCTTCATCAACAACTGTCTTTGCTCTATACTGAAGATCCGATGGACGAGCCGGAAAGAATCACCAACAAAAAACTATGGGAACAAACAAAACAATCGCCAACCAATCGCCCAACAAATATGCAAGAGAAAGTGGAGATGGATTGGACACTCACTGAGGAGGCCGTTGGGTGACATTGCGCGCGCATCAGGCCATTGCTCGAGTGGAACTAGGCCGAAAGGGAATCGGTGAGTGAGACGTCAGTGCCAGGGTGACATGGAGGAAATCGTGTGAAGAGGAGTTGAAACAGTATGGACTAATATGGATGCAGGTGAAAAGTACAGCAGAAGACAGAAGCCAGTGGAGACGTGCAGTTGAGAACCTATGTTCCACTAGGAACCCAAAAGAACAATAATAATAATCGTATTTTCAGTTAGCTGGCCTTCTCCACTAGCTTGCCTTAATTTATCTGATATATTCAATTTAGTGTTATATTAATTAATGTTGTTTTTTACTGATGTTTTTGAACTGTAATCACCTATCAACACTATTGATTCAATGTAATTTAAGATAGCATCGATGTTTTTAGTAACAATATTCTCGTAGTTATTACTATCATATAAACGTAGAACCTGATGGTGATGAGTTTATCGAAAAGAATATTCCTTGTTCATTAATCAATCTTTTAAATTTTTAAACGGCATGTTTAATGAATTATAAGATGAACTAACTTGTCCTGTATGAAAACCGTAAAATCCATCGTAACATTTATCACAATTTAGTCCACCGACACCAGGTTTACACGGACACTGACCAGTTTCAGGATCACAGACACCAACACCTTCAGGACCGTAGTTAGCCAACGTGCCGATTGGATTACATTGACACGGACTACAACCACGCGCAGGGATTAAATCGAATACATCACTTTCATTCAATGGTTTCAAGTTACGGCGATAACCTGGTAAACATTTCTCGCAATGCCGACCAGTTGTACCGAATAAACACTTGAGACATTCACCAGTTTTCCTGAAAAGTAAATTTATATTTCAGACAGATTTTTTTTTAAAGTTGTGTGAAGTAATTAGGAAAAAGGAAAGTTGGAAAACAAATGTATTTCCCATATTTGTTAAAATCAACCAGTATACGATTCCTCGCTTAGTTATGTACTAGAGAAGCATTGGAAAGAAAATTCTTAGTTTGATGTGAACTGAAAAAAGAATTAACAAAACTTAAATCATTGACTTCCACCTCATTGAATCCAAGGCGATATCTTAACTGTGAGATCATACAGTGAAAAAAGAAGTAGTTCTGAATTTTTCAAAAGTTGTCAATTTGAAGTAAAAGAAGTGAGTTATATTCAAATCCAAACTTTTGAATGTTCTTCCAGGTTGTAATAAAATCAGACAGAAGTGAATTGATTTCCCATGAATCTGCCTGCTGAAAATATCTACCCAACTTGACAAATAAGTAGGCATATCATAATTTTTTAAATTTTATCTGTTGATCACCATAAGTGTATATAATCGGGCATATAAGTGTGGTTGGTAGACTGGAAAGCGGTCTTCAATTCTGAAAAATAAAATTGATGGATGTGAAACAAAGTATTGCTTCAATAAGCTTTAGGTGACTAGTTGAGAACTTGCTTTCAAGCAAATTCTTTCTGGCTTCTTCTCACTTACACTATGAAATAGACAGTTTGAACACTTCTACAAAGAGTAAAGGTTTCATATTCTGGGATTTAAAACACACGTTTCTTCTACCCAGTTTGTCTATCTGAATTTGGTGAATTGGGAGCTTAACTGAGATGGCCTATTGATTTAAAGCTGACTGTTTACGCTGGCATTATTATTTGTATCCCCTTGGATTCTGATTTGAATATAGGGCTTCAATGGCACAAATCCACTTTGTTCCTGTTCTCTACAGCCCTGTTTTTCTGGCCCCACAATTGCTCATAGGCTTCCATCTCCTCCACATGCCCAGCTCGTCATTTCCCATTTGGTAGGTTCCACTCCAGCTATGACCTAGAATGCCATATCTTTCGATGGTTTCCTCAGCTTGTGTTTAGTCCACCTCCCTGTTTCTTCAGAATACTTGTTAGGGAATAGGCTCTTGATTAATTTCTTCCCAGATCTACTGTATGAGGCCATTGAAGGCAGATGTTGATAAAAGTCTGCCGTAAATGCTTGTGGTAACGCTCATGACAAGTTTCCGACCCATACAGAAATAGTCACTCACTTAACACATTACCTTTAAAAATCCGAATTTTGTAGTTCGTGCAGAGGCAGAGTGGCGAAGAATTTCACACCGATTTCAGATTAATGAACATTTGTCTTGCCTTTACCGTACTGGTTTTCACATGGTCATCAGTGTGACACGCCTGTAGCTGAGACGATTCAGCCCAGATAAGTGAAAGAAATGACCTTGGTCGAATTTCTCCTGTTGACAGCTCAAAGATCAAGCTTGTAAGCTACACTAAATAGATAGGCGTATTAATGAATCTTATTTTGGAGTTTGAAAGAAGCAAGCTATTGAAACAAATACTTCTTTATCAAAAACTTTTATGAATAATTTGGTTCATGTGCAATTAATATTGTTCTCTGAGCTGGTTGGTTTAGTTGCGGAGCTTTCGTCGTCCTTATGGACAACATCTCCAGCGCAATGTTTTGCATAAATTGAAATGATTTAAATTTTTCATGAGGGATATAACTGCGTCTCCCGGTAACCATCTTTACATATGTATTGATCATTTTCTATTGACTTGATTTACTTTTTATTAGTTGGTATGTTTGGTCTATATTAACGTGTTTGTTAATTGCATATTCGTTTGAGTACCAGGCTTCTAGGAATTTCCTAGCACTTTTGGTGTTTCCTTTGTCTAAGATTTCGTAATTATCCCAATCAAACTGATGTCCATAATTGTCTATGTACATTATTATGGAGGAATATATATCGTGTCTTTTCACGGCTGATTTGTGTTCTTGGATTCTGATTCGAAGGGGACGCGCACTCTGGCCGATATAATGCCTGTTACAGTACATACAATTTATTTTGTAAATGGTATTAATCTTATCTCCTTTTTCTGTTGGATCTTTCGGTTTGCATAATACCGAATTAAGCGATTTGACGGCATTTTTCATTTATGGTAGGATGAATTCTCTGTTGGTCTTTGATGATAGTTGCTTGTTGGTGTTGTGATTCGATTTTAAACAATTTTTGATGAAATTTTGCGGATAACCATTCTTTTTGAACACCATTTGTAGGTATTTTTCTTCCATTCTTTTCAACTCTGAAGTGCTACAGTGTGTTTGAATTTTTTTTAAACAATGTCTGCACACAGTTTCTTTTGTGAGTGAGTAATTGGATTATTGCTAGTATAGTTGAGTATTTGATCTGTGTTTCTAAATTTCCTGTGTTGGTTCTCCTGATTTGTGTTTTTAGAATGATTAAAAATCCCCCCACCACGACATAAATATATGGTGGGAACAGGGAAAGTCGATCTTATAAGACGATCTATGGTATTCATTTATTCGAACAGAGTGATGAATAACTACTGATATGAAATTCTACATTGGAACCTGTTTAGTACCCCTATGTAATTGCTAGTACTAAGTGGATAAGAATCGAAAATTACTTCAAACTGAAGCAGCCTAATCCATTTCCTCCTCTATCCAAAATTCCTATTATGCAACACATATTTACATCCATTATCGCATTTATTCTTTTTATTGTAATTAAATAACTTTGATCATTGCATAGTACTCTTTTATGTTCTGTTATTTAGTTTACTGGTTATAATTTAATGCTTTATATCAATACATCTTTTTTTTGTGCATCAGAGATAATACAAGGTTATCTTCTAAAATAGTGTTTCTGACATGGTGATCGATGTCCAGTTGGGAAAGAAACTAATCAGAATTTGGCCCAAATAAAATAACACACATTATTTTGATTGACCATGATTACAGATTAAATGGCATAGCCTTGGCGACATTTTAAATCTTACATTATTATGTAAAATAATACTTTTCAGCTCATGTCGTTGTGTTTGTTCTCGCGTAAGTAGTGCTGGCTGGGCAAACAGGTAGCTACCGTATAGTGTTGTTGGCGTGATCAGGTGATAGTCATGACCAGAGTATATGTGTCCAATTTGGTATCCCTATTTCAGTCCCGAAGTTTTGCAAAACATAATATTTTCAGTATCAGATTTGTTTACTTTCTTATTCTCTTATGTTTAAATGCAAGTAAGAACGAGTTCGGAGCAGTTTGCTAAACGAAATGTTGGGATTACTCATTTCAGTTTAGCTGAGACTTTAAAAATATAATTTTACATAAAGTTAATGTTGTCTCAGTTAATTTTGTCTATCTCAGTGTTCAAAATATTCTCAAGTTATCAGCTGTCTACAGACCCAATGTAGCCAAGATAGACAACAATCACGAAATCTATAACACTCCGACTTAGTGATTGAAGTCAGTTCAGGTGAACTGTTGATATGACTCTTTCCTAACAGGTGAAACTTCCATTCAGCGTTCATCTCATTACTGTCCAAGATGATTAGCTCTGTTAGTGGATTTACTTCGCTTTCAAGTACTTATGCTCATGAGTGTTGTATGCTCCATAGCCTTTTCTGTCAAACGTTTTCACTCCTCATGTTAATTTTATTCTACTTCAGACAACTTGGAAAGTGATTCTTAAAGAAGTTTTCACTAATGAAAACACAAAATGGATTGATTTGTTAAGGTTAATAATTAAAAGTTTGTCAACAAAAAGTTTGCAGATGAGAGAATCTATTTCTTGTAATTTAAGCAACTTATTTTAGTTTACTCACTCATCACAATTTCCAAATTCTCTAGGATCCACATTATTAGAACAATCACATGGTTTGCATGGAATACCCTTCATTGGATCACCATAGAAGTTTTCAGCACAACGTTCACAACGAACACCTAGAATGAAGAAGAGTTATTACAAGCAATAATTTGATAGTAAGCGCTTTCTTTAGTAGCATTATGTCAAATATAAAATTTCAGTGTTGCACATAAACACATGAACTACTCGCCAATGATTGCAGATGTGTATCAATTTGAGAAATCTAATGTCAAGAATGAATAAACCGCAGGTGAAACGACCCTCCTATATGACAAACCATTCCAGGTGCTAGGCAGAAATATCTGTTTTACATAGATTTCGTGAAAGACATATATTCAACTCAGAGGAGTTTGCCGTTTGAGGATACACTTTATTGAGTAGAGTCGGAATAATAGACATGAGTCTAATTTTGCATTCTTTTTTCTTCCTTCACGTTCCCCAGTGGAACATAGGGCTTCAGGCTAGTGGCCTGAAGTTTCTGAAGCAGTGTTTATTGTACAGGATGGGGTTGCTACCCTCATGCCCAACCATCCTCTTTATCAGCATTATTTCTGGCTTAGCGAGGTAAGGGAGTGTGTCAGTGGCCGGGGGTCGAACTCCTGACCATGTGCATGCTTGGTGAGCGTCCTAACCGCTGTGCCACCGATGCACAATTGCTTTCTGGAATTTTTTATCTCCTGAATGCTCTCATCCTGTAGCAAAAACTAAAGATATGGTTTTAAGAGTTCATTACATGAATAGTGACGCAGTCAGTCAGATGATTCAGGTAACCTAACTTCGGAGATATTAGAACCTCGATCTTCAGGTCTAAGTGAATATTTTGTTTAGTGAATAATACTACTCACGAGTAGATTGGTGGTATCATCAAAATATTTCATTTTAGTGTTTTGATTTTGATTTAGTTGTGTTCTCTGAACTGGATGGTTGATGTAATTGAGGAGCTTTCGTTCTCCTTTTGGAAAACATCTTCAGCGCAAGTCATGTTGTGGAATAAACCTGATTTATTATAAGTCAGAGAACACATCTAGATCAAAATCATCCATCTGAACTACAAATCTCTATTATTTGGAAATATGTTAATAAAAAGTAAATTTGAATCAGGAGGAATCTTTCATTGTGTGTACAGTTTAAATTAATTTTAGTTAAGATAAGAATACGCATCAGCCCTGTTTAATCTTTTCAATTTATGTAATTGTATGATGACTCTATTACAGAATACTTCACTATGGATTCCGAATGATGTATAAGATTTGCTGAGCAACGGAAGAGTAATCAAGAATGTTGACGTAAGGAAAGACTACATGGCTAGTTCTGTTGGTTTTACTTTAACAAATGAAACACATTTATGTGGTGTATACGGTAGGTTCAGCAGACAAACAATTCCCGTCTCACCGTCATATACTATCTAAACCGAACTGATTTCAAATACTCCAAAGTTACTTGCATGTGAAATATTATGTTACTATTTTTTTCCGACAACAGAACAGAAATTTTCTGAACATCTGGTGAAGTACGCGCTGAATAAAACCTCTATCCATCTGGTATTTCAGCAGTGGTGAAAAAAAAGTTCCTCAATATGGTGTGTGGGTTACAGTTACAACTGCCAGTATGTTGTAGACATTCACAAAATATCACTGGGGTGCTAAAGATTGGTACCTAAGGAGACATAAAGGGAACCTGTTAAAATGAAATAACACGATGGTGTGTGTGTGTGTGTGGATGTTTCCACCTCTTCATTTAGTGAATTCTCACCTAGGATGAATTGAATGGTGAACTGAAGTGACTTCGTCGAAGTTTTATAGACTGCATATAATAATAATAATAATAATAATAATAGTACAAAAGTATCATTGCAGGAGTACTTGAAAATTTCTTTTGTGTTTTCTCTATTCTCCTTTTTCTCTTAGATTACTCTATAAATCAATCACATGCAAATTACTTTTCAAGGTTGTCTGAATTTCTTTTCTACTTGAATGAACAATACTGAAGTATTCTCATGTTTTTTCTCGGCGTGTATGTATGCGTTTGAGTGCTTTTGAAGATTCCCACATAATGTTAACATCATAGGTTCGAAGTGTTTTTCTCATATTTTTTTGCTGTTGTAAAAGCAACATAACATTTATGTCCTAATAATAATGATAATAATCTGATGTATTCTATTTGTCTTTAAAATCATCATCCCATTGTGGATTGTGTTAAGGAATTTCCCAATAAACGGTTAATTAGTTAGTTCAAGGTTATTTAGTTGGTTAGTTAGTTAGTCAAATAGTTAGTGGGTTAGGCAGGTAGGTAGATAGATAGAGAGATAGATGGATAAGTAGAATCGTAAAGAATATGTTAGCCATTATTTTATTTTTTTTTTCTAATGACATCACGTCAAGAATAATCGGTTGTGAGAAGTATGTTTAGTGAGTAAACATGAAATATATGTTCTACGTTTTGTTTCCAAATAGCAAACCAGTGTGCGAAGTGGATTCTTACAAAAACTGAGACATCTGGTTGAAATTGTTGTGCATGAAATGAAAAATGTTCACACTTTGATAATCTTTGACGGCAACTGTTTACAAGCCTGTCATCATAAGCAGGATTTTTATTTCACCACCAATAGTCATGCACTGCATCAGTAATAGTTTGCCGATGCAAGATGTTCAATGTTTTGAGATGGGTTGTGTTAGCATTTAAGACTTATATGCTCGTCTATTATAAATGTTTCACTACAATATTCATTCCAGAATATGGTCTTAGTAATTAAACACTTCAGTTTCCTCAGATTAGCAGAGGCATATTTTTCCTCCAACTTATTCAAAGTAACATTATAGAGATGATGTTAAAAATTTCTGAATATCGGCTTATTTGTAATAGCCCCTTTTCCTAGATTTAAATTTGAATTATTTCATCGCAATGGTAGTTTTGAATCTCTTGAATGCAGATCAGTGATCTTTGAGAGTTTTCAGAGTCTGAAAGGTCACAAAGAATGAATGTATCTAAGTCATTGAGAACGATTTGGATGCATTTCATCAACATTCTTCAAGAAAGCCATTACTGTCTTGAATACCCTAGCCGAGCATTATTCACCTACCTATATGGTTCAAACCAATATCCTAAGATTTGACGGACTGATATCTTACTTTGGTCTGAGCACTCTTAACTCTTACAGAAATTATGCATATGTCATCTAACTTTCTTGCAGCGGAAGTCATTGGCTGGGTATGCGTGATACACATTTCTTAGTCATCACAATCGATGTAGTTTCACAACCTCAGCAACTGAATTCCTTTTCTCCCTTAATATGACACTTTAACTCATTTTCACTAATTATATTATACTAATTAATACGGAAGATAGAAAATTGACAATATAGCTACAAACCGCTATTTCTTGTCTTCTAATTCCAACGAACACGTCTCTTAGGCTTAAAAAAGGACAGAGTAAACTGGTAAACATTACATTTATCCTTTAACCGATAGATGTTCATCACAAATTCATCAAAACATGATGCAAGCTAGTAAATTCAAAACCAGCCTTCTTTATCATAGTTGAAATTTTGTCAGCAAACACTCCACTAGGCCTGATGAATTTTATGCGCCTGCAGTATAGGCGTCTACAAAAATGTTTTTTTATTATTGAAGAATAATACGTACCTTAAAACAGAATTTATTAAATATATTTATGGAAATGAATTAAGGCTATAATTTGAAAATGATCATACTATCCCGTTGATAATATTATACAACAGCCATGTGTGCATATATATACCTACCGGATCTGTTGTTTGGGCAGTCTTTACAGACAACTTTGATTGAACGATCAGGCCAATAAACTTGTTCACATTTAGCCTCTGGAGGACAAGGACACGGTTTACAAGCTTCAGGTGAACCGACTGGAGCAAATGAGTCACCATAATAACCATCAGCACATCGATCACAGAACAAGCCACCAGTATTATCCTGACAATCACATTGACCTAAGTTAAAGTATACAACAAAATGTAAACATTAAATATTCAAGTTCACTGAGTAGTACTTATCATCACAGTTCAAAGAGAATGTTTACAATAACAATCACGACAATAATAACACTGATAACAGTAATACACTTAACAATCAGGTTAGCAAATCTACATGTCCACATCTACGCATAACAACATTTTAAGATTAAAGCACAAGATGCCGCAGTATGGTGTCATTTGTTATATTAAAGTCCTAATCGGTAGTGTTTAACTGGCATTAGGTACTTGGCAGGCGGCTGTATTACCCACCTATCATTCAAATGACCATTTCACGTAATAGTAATAATCACATTGGTTACCATTGTTGTTGTGATTGATTCTTAACTGTGTGTGTTTAATTTCATCTAGTCAACTTAAAACAAGCGTTAAAAAGGTTTTTGGATAGTGTGAATATTTGTCAAAATGTAAACTTCTCTTTGAAGCCTAACTAAATATACAATGTCACAATAATAATAATAACAACAACAAAAACAACAATAATAATAATTATTATTGTCATAGTTTTTTTCGCAACCAATAAATAAATGTCATTACCAAGTGATCCATAACGGAAAACTAATCGAAGTCGTTGAAATACTCAGGGGAGTAAGACAAAGCTGTCTAATGTTCCTAATTATGGTGGAGTAGACCATGAAGAAGGCTGTGAGGGGCGAGAAAGAAGGAATAGATTGGACCGATCAGAAGACTCTAGAAGATCTAGACTTCGTGGGTGACCTCTATCTAATGTCACATAAACTCTAAAATTTACAGGCAAAAACCGACCAGTTGGCGGCAGAAGAGGCTTGCGCTGAAGACACAACTTCAAGTGAACATAGTGAAAACAGAGGTGATGAGGATAACTAACTAACAACGATCACGACAACAACAACCAGTCTCTAGGAACGGAATAAATTTGAAAGAGGTTACTGCCTCCACTTATCCAGGCAGCATCATAAGAACTACAGGCAGTGGCGCAGATCAGGATGTCAAATGTAGTATCAGAAACGTAAAGTAGATGTCCATCACTGGAGTCAATCTGGACATCTGTTACAATCAGAGTAAAGAACAAAATTCAGATTTTCAGCACTAATGGCAAATTAGTCCTTCTATACGGTTCAAAGACATGTCGTGTCACGAAAGGTATTTTCAGCAGGCTGTAGACAATCATCACCAGCTGACTTCGCTCCATACTGAAGACCGAATGACTCGAAAGGGTAAACAATAGGGAACTGCTGGAATGAACCAAGCAAGAACCTATTCCTCAAGAAATATTCCCAAGAAAATGGTGGTGGATTGGACGCTCGCTGTTGACACCGCAAAGTAAAATTGCACGTCAGACCATCAGTCGAGTGGGACCCGTATGGGAAACACTGAGTCAGGTGTGAGTTCAACAGTGATACGTAGGAGATCGTGAGAGGAGGAGATGAGAGACTATGGCCAGTCATGTAGCTTAAGACGACTATAGAGAAAAGAATGAAGCTCTATATTCCACTTAGAATAATAATTTACTAAATAAATAAATAAATAATAACTCAATGAATTATTACTCTATCATAGGTGATGTAAGTATTTAATTCTAAATAATGCTGAAAATTTCTTAACAGGGAGGAAAAAGTGTTCATTGATTTGAGTGGTAAAGATGTAGTGAAAAAAGTTATTCAGTTGGAATTTAGGATTTAAGTCAACAGTACACCTTGTCCCTTACGTACACTTAATCATTGTCACAGGAAGTAGGTGAAGTGTAATAAGAATAATCAAAGTAAACTAAATAAAGAGCTTATTAACTGTGGCAGTACTCTGAGTAGGCTGAATATTTACATTAAGTGTTGATGCGTTCCTAAAGTTAACTGTCATGCTACAGACAGTTTTAAGTACCAGTACAGCATGTCAACACTATGAGAAATAATTCAGTCACGTAAAGTCATAGGCAGATATTTTGTCAAAACTTTGGTAGTGAGCTGTAACTAGTATGCCATTTGTTGTTGGAGAAATACATAGGCGGACAAAACTGTTGTCTGGAGCTGTTTTTTTGTAGTTCATCACGAAATGTCACAAACGACCATCCTCACAAATACACTGTTATTTGTGAATGTTTTTTACATTCGATTGAAAGAGACTTGGCTAGATAATAAGAACTCTACTTCAAGCTTATGGAAATAGTACTATGATAACTGCTGGTAAATAAGCCAATTAAGGATAAACAAAACATGGGAAAAATTCTTATCAATTCTGTCCTAAAATTGTTTAAATACATTCAACAGTTTTTCCCAGTATCAGATCTAAGAAATATTCTGCGTCTGCACAATAATAAAAAATACGGTGTCGTATCAGAGATCAGATTTAGCTGTGATTAAAATCATGGGGTGTTAGTCTCATACCCAGCTGTCAGATTTCTCTCCTAATACGGTGGTGTGAAGATAATTCTAAGTTGAGGTTTGAATTGTGAAAAACAGTAGTCAGCATATAATAGAAAACTGTTTATGTGTAGCGACCTGATAATTCCGAAGCAAAGAAATTGCACCCTCTGAATTCTACTACTTCACAGGAACGGACACCTGATCCTAGATCACAAGTGCTTCTAGTAGAATACAGCAAACTTCATGTATTGTGAGAATTCGAATTCATGCCATAATTTCACTTAAAGACTTTGATTACTACCAAGTAGTATGAGTAGTAATGCAAAAATACGTAGAGGTGTGACTAGAACTATGAAGATTTTCATAATGAAAAATGTGCGTCGGTGGCACCGTGGTTAGGACTCTCGCCGACCATGCACATGGTCCGAGGTTCAATCCCCTGCCAACGCACACCTGATATCTATGGCCGGCCTGCAAAATTTAGGCTACAGATATCCATACTGAAAATTCCATATTTGTACCAAAAATACAGTGTGGAATCAAGCTGTAATCAAAAAATAATAATAATTTGCTTTATTCTCAAACAGTGTACTGTGGTACTGTGTGAAATTCTCAGCATTTGGTACAACAATGCGTCTAATTTACCAGTCAACAGCAAAAACCAAAATATAAAAAACGAAAACAGGATTGATAATTGCAGTGTTTTTGTTATTTGCAGTGACAATAATGTCAGAAATGTACAAAAAGTGCAAAATGACGACAATAATGTTAATAGCTAAAACTGTAAGTTAACTGAAATCGTTTTGACATAAACTGTATGTAGGAGAGAATAAAAGAGCCAATTATCTAAGGAGATGCAATGGGATAATTGAGAATACTGAGGGTGTTGGGATTCAGACCATTTCTCACGTGAATTTAGGGGTCTATCGACTAGGCGGTACGCCACTTGCCCTACTGGCAACGTTTAATATCCTTCGCAATATGATATAGTCCTTTCTGACTAGCCAGGAAAGACTAAGGGGAACAAAATCTTAATTCCCGTAGAACTTCGAAGACTTGAGTAAAGCAAGGAAATTAATTTAAAAATGGGCAAAAGTATGTAAAGAGATTCAGAACGTCCTTGTGACATGACTTCCCATGAGAAAAAACATCTAGCATCTACAGTCGACCCACAGCACATTAAAACAACTTGCTTATCATGATCCTGTCTTTGACTGGACACTAGGTAGGAATTAACCATTGTCATGAGTCCAACCCTTTGTTTGGCGCAGGCTGAATTCTTTCTGTCAAGTTTGCTATGTGGCCGCCACGCCACTAGGTGGCTCAACATCCCGGTGCACTTTGAATTGTTGCTATAAGATAGTTCGAGGCAACTAGTAGGAAGCCTTGCCTCTAGGTTCCGTGTTTGTTGGCACTCACCATTCAGTCAGGAAGGTGTATCTGCAATCCTGGTGGACTCATGTCTGTACTGAGATTCGAACCCATGTCATCCAATGCTGAAGTCATATATGTCACCATTGAGCTATTCAAGCTGGTGATTGAACACTTCTAGGAATGTTGTAGACATTAGATAGTAATCAAAGTTACGTGTCTATTCTTTTATTGGTACAAACATGAGATCTATCAAGATTCCAGATGCTCCTTGCTGACGAGTGCCAGCAAGCATGGAATTTAGATACAAATTTTCCTGCCCATTACCTCAGACCATCTAATAACATCATAATTTCTTTTAAATCAGGAAAATGTATACCAAAAATGTATTGACATAGGACCGCGAAATCTCTGAGGAAATCTACACGGAAAATGATTTCTCAACTAGACTCATAGACAAGAATCTAAGGCAAAGACAGCTTCTGAACTGGTTCGAGTCGCCTCCAAGACGATGCCGGTGCTTAATCCCAAATTAAAAAGCAAGAATGAAGCAGAAATTCCCTGTAATGGGTCTCGAAATCTCTCAGTGAAATATATTTCACTGCCAGAAGTTTCTTGCCAGAAACTAATCAGACAGCACATAAAAAACAAGCTCACGTATTCAGCCACTTCAGCATGACTTGCTCTTGTGAAGCTGGGAACATCATGCATCCGCCTGTAAAACGCTCTAGGGAACACTATCTAGCCTGGTCAGCAAAGCAGGAACGCAGATAGGCATATAGATTTGTAAAGGAACATCGGTTGAACTCAAGATACCCTTTCGAAGTCCTATACATGACCCAGTCAAACTCATCAAAGGGAGTAATACCAAGGTATCTGGAAATAGCTAGAGCACTAACGATCCAAAAGCTCACTCCAACTTTATGTATTCAAAAGAAATACCTTCAACCTTTGTCTTTATCTTAGCTATCATAAACAGCCATTTTCCTTAATAATAACTAGCTTATTACGTTTCTTATTTAAACTTCCTGTTTGTTTTTTTATTTTTAAGGTATTTTTTAAAAATCCCCATTTCCAATACTACGCTTTGTATCCTAACTTCCTGCCTATTTTGTCATTATTATACTTTTAATTCCTATTTGTATTCTTGTTAATTTGACCCTGGGCCGGAACTTTCCTCGAATTTTCTCACCTATTTTGCGATATATATATATATATATTCAGATACGAATGTCTTAGTGGATGACTTCGTCGAAGAGAAACTTTTCGTCGCTTCTACTGTCTTTTTGATTTTTCTTATGATCTACTGTGTGCATTTCGGTGATCTGAACAAATCTCCGGATACCTTTTGACACTTCATCAGTTTATTCGTCACTTGTAAGATATTGAATGTTTCCTTGAGTTTTTTTTACAGTGATCCAGTTTAACTTTTATAATAAATTTAACACATTGTACCTAAGCAACATTTCTGTCTGTGGTATAGCCTGAGTAAAACTAACCAACTAATGAATTATGGCGCTGAATAATAATAATATTAATATAATAGTTTATTTGACCGTAGAATGTTCGCAATATTACGCGGATATACGTACGCATCACTACTGGTCATATTACACATTAAAATCATTCAATATACGCCTGGCTAAGACACTGAACACAGGAGAGAGAAAAAAAACGAAAATCTGTTTATACCCGGTGTACTATTTAATGATATTATGACTGGTTTTATACGTAGTTTTACATACATGTACTGTGCGTGTGTGTGTGAATACTATTTGAAACTTGATTTAACTTTAAACACAGATAAATGGTTGTATAGTCTTTAATGTGTTATTCTATAAGCGAATTTAACTAGTTATTTATAGTATATATATATATATATATATATATATATATATATATATATACATGCCAAGTTTTCCTAGAGAAATCTCTTAATTATATTGAAAACCTTATTAATATAATTGTACAAGTAAGTGTACGCATGGACCGGAAGTTACCATGATACATGACCTTAATAATATTATTCGATCACGAAAACACATACACTTATATGAACATAAAGGTGCTTTATGCACAGAGTCGGACTTTGTCTCTGGTGAAGAGAATAACAGTAGTAATTGTAATAATAATAATAGTATTCACAAAACTCAAAGTTATTTTAGCCAATAAATTTTCTACTGTCTGGATGCTAACATTCACTGGTAAATTTTAGATAATAATAATAATATGATATATGAGGTCATTGGTAATACCAACGTCAAATTGCAACGCTTAGTCTAACTACTCTTATTCATGACACGTAGAACTGTAAAATCAGATATAAAAATTTTAAGTCTGTCCTTTTTCACTGTCAATCATCAGTCTTCAGTGTGTAGCTGAGAAGTGATTACCTAGACTGTAATTAGAATCAGGTGTTGTATTGTCTGTCTGTGAAAAACACTTATAATTTAATAATGTTACTGTTAGTTAATATTCAACTGGAAGAAATGATTGTTTTACCGTTGGTTTTTTTTTGAAGTGGTCGGTCGTTTGGTTGATTGTCTAAAGTCGATGATACAAAGCAGGACTGTAGAAATGTTACTCTTATACTTTGAAGCCAGATAAATTAGTTTGAGCTCTCTAGTACAATATTAGGTATTCAAATTATTCTGGTTTATTACCAGGGTATGCTCCTTTGTTTGTGAGACAATCAACTTGGTGTTCTCTCTCTCTCTCTGTCAGTTTGATGCAAGTTTATCAACGTAGTCACTGATAGTCAAAACTGGTAGATTTATACAGATGCAATTTTGACTATAACTGCTTCTGTCAATATAGATTTCAGAATATTGAATAAATGTTTTTTGGTTGAATTTATTTTGAATTTCTTCTTGAATGATTTTACTTAACCAAAACATTTGGTGTGTGCTTTTGTGCTGTTTTGTAGTAGGAACTCTTCAGTGATGCTCAAGTTCAAAATATTGTTTCTTGGTTGATTGGACTAGCGGGGGAATTCATGATGCTGATATTGTCGGCTGGATCTACCTGCATCCCACTAATTATATACTCCTCATGTACAGCAACCATCAAATTATTCAGATCAGAAAAGATTCTGAAATTGGTACTGCTTTCACCAGAAGACTAATCGTTGCAACTCAGAATACTGTGTGCGGTAACCGACATGAGAATGTCAGAAAACAAACTGGTGATTCGAGGGTTGTTTATTTTTTCGCCAACAATGAACCAACACTACAAGCTTACTACATTGCAGAGTATATGAATAAATGTCAGTATAAATCACAATAACACTTCCGATGTTTTTTTCCAATCTTCTGCGAAATAGTGAACGACTACGTCACGGCCACTACTGTCGCCTTCCACAAAAATAAAGATCTATTCGCATAAATACACCATATATTGCTCACTCAGTAGTGTTCACCAACACTAACAGTAACAGTTTGTTCAAAACTGTGGAGGACAGTGTTTAAAGTGAACAGCAGTGGGACAGATGTAGTTATGTATCATCTTCGTTGAAAATCTGCCCCATAGAATCCATTGTTCTTATTTTTAAACTTTGAGTCGTGACTTTCTATGGACACCAATAATGTTGTTGTCTTCAAGTTATCTTTTACTCTGATGTGGCGACACTGTATGAAGAAAAATAGTCCATGAAGTAATTATATTATATGGGATTTCAGCAATTTCCATCTTGCATGTCAGCTAAATCTCTAATACAGAGATTTATAAACATATAAAGTGATTTCATTATCAGTTACAGATATCACTTGCATGATTGTTCGAGGTCATTTGTATTGCCAAACACAAATTCTCCGATCATAGACTTCCTTTCAAGATACTAGATATTGTTTATTGCTTCAATGATACGCTATACTCTGAGATATTGGCATGGATAATAAGTTTACGCAAACAAGCATAAATATAACTAGTTTGGAAGCTTTCGACGCAATACAGTTCCTGATATAACTGACAATTGTATACAGTCCCATGTCGACACCATAGAAACAGTTATACAACAGTCCTAATGAAAATGGATTTTTCACGTGAGTCTGTCAAAAAAGTTATTGTATTACTTACCAGTCTCAGGATCACAAGTTGTTGAATGATTATTACATGTACATAATATACAACGATCAGTAGATAGACCACCGGGTGGATCACGTCTATGTCCCTCTGCACAAAATTCACATGATCTGCCAGAATATTGTGGAGGGCATGTGCATATTTCAGTGCGAGGATCAGTCTGTGGTGTACGCCAACCTATCAGAAAATATAATTCGTAAAATAGAAAGTCAGCTGGTTAGTGTTTAACAGTTTCAAATTTAAAGATGATATATAGAACAGGCAGTGTTGGTATTGAAACCGATTTTATTTCAGTCTTACCTGATGGACAGTATGGACACTGGTTCGGATCTTTTTCACATAAGCACGGTAGGAAACCTTCCACTGTACCATTACATCCAATTTGAACATAATGTCGATCTACAAATGAAATGCAAAAAGGAGACAAAATTTTGAATGTTTATTAAACTAGACTCAAGCATACTAGCAAACGCATTCATACTAACTATTCCAAAATCACTCAACACGATGGCTACCTCACACACTTTATATTCCTTCTGATTAAACGCATGCTAATGAAACTATCTTATTTAAATCTATACCCGTGGAAAACACTAGTGAATCAACGACAGTGTTAGTAAAACCACCACTTTTTATACATCACTACCGTAGTTTACACATTAGTAAGTATTTGATACTCTTTTTAGTATCCTTAATTAATACACTAATATTTCCTCTAACAAATAATAGATAAACTTACCTGGTGTCTCTGTGATAGTCAAGTCAGATGATTTGAAGATATTGTCTGAAGAGATGACAAAACACCTGGTAATTGAAGTAAATTTAATACCGAGTTATTAGTAGACTCCTCTTATCACCTGATCGGTAATTCGAGAGGTGTGAGCAAAGTATTAATTTGACTTTCAGTCATTTTTCATTAGAATGGTTATAGTGTTTTCATACATAGTGACTAGCGTCAAAATATAGAGATCGTTCAAGTAAAGCATAGGCTGGATAGTTTAGCCACAACTATGTGTATTTATCAATTTAACTGCTCCTGAGCACAAAGTTATGCAAGGCGTACTGCTAGATAGATTAGCTGACGTGTTACTGGACATGTTACATGGTGGTTTGACAGAGGACAGACAAAAGCCATCCACAGTGGCATTTAGCTTATAGTGGTCATTTAATGGAGAAAACGAGTGGATTCAGGGTGTTTCAGAGCATCCCACCGAATATTTCCAATGAACTATGTATTCATCTACCGCATATAAGTGAGGCGATAGGCATTTGAACTACTAAGCCTAAACGATGCATTCAAAGGGAGTTTCTACAGCCAGTATCCCTCCGTTTGTTAATTAACGCCTATATTTTCAATCCCTCTCTTGTTATCGCTTAATCTTATCACATCTCCATTACTTCTCTTACAATCTAGCATTACTTAATTGGACCGTGTGTTTTATTAAACCTGCATTGACTACGTTTAAACTAAACATTTGTCTATTTAATCATGCTGTTCATTCACTATTCTTGTTATTATAGACCGCCCACTTTTTCATCTTTATTATTAATAGAATCATTATTATTATTACTATGACTAATTGCACAGTTTATATGCGCAATCTTATCATTCTATTGACAAAACACCATGATTGATTTATATTTAACTAGATCTATTTGTGAAGTTATGTAAGTATATGAGAGTTAAGCTTGATGAGATCTAATCGAAAACAATATTGTACGCTAACGTGTGTAGTTCTAAATTAAAAATGTTAATAGTGGTAAATAATCAAGTAAAGTTGCCCATAGAGAGCCTTAAATGAAATTCATCCACTGCATACTTAGACACTTCCACTATACCAGATCAGTGTTAGGAAGATTACAGCTGGTGGTCTAAACACTTTGTCTGAATAAAAAAGCATTAGAAGAGTTTTGTGTAATCGGATTATACCTACTTCCAATACTCTGCCTTTAAAGCATACATCCGGGGAAATTTAATTTTGAAGAATTTTTCCGGCAGTCAGGTGAATACCAGAAATATAACGTTTTCAGGCTACATAAGTCGAAATACTTTGGCTGCTATGAGCTCAGTCTCAAAAAACGATCATTTATCTACATTTGTTAAGACTGTCGATTAGTTTCGATGCATTACACCAACGATAAGACTTCCTGAAATAATTTAATTTGAACAGTCCAATGGTATATCCAGTTTAAAAGGAAAGAAATTACTCTGAGTGTTTAATTCACTCTGTTCTCAGTGAGGCACCCTATTAGCTGATGTAGCTGACTTACAACTTCTCATATCATTTACTACTATATACCATTCGGACTTCACAAATAACTAAAACACTTGTCTGAGATATGTTTTAAACTTCGCCTATATTGTTGTTTTCATTCCTTGTCATCTCTGATGGAACACAGGGCCTCAAGCTTGAGCTTTTGAGGTTAAAATAGCAGTAGTACTGTTTTTTAAGTGGCGAAGTCGCCAATGCCACGTCTAGTCTTCCCTCTTTATCAGGCTCACTATCGCCTCAGTGAGGTTTAGTAGTTCGCTGGCCGTAAATCGAATCCAAACATTCTACCCTTAGACCACCGGTACACACTTTTATAGTGAGAGAGGAACATATTATTAATGAAATTGTTAGATGTTTCCATTGTTATATGTAGATATACGATATCAACAGAAAAGTCTTGACTACTACGTTTAAGCTTCAAAAGTCTGCATTTTGAAAGGCGAGGAATATATATATATATGTTTGGCTTGACGAAATGTCTTCTTTTGGTGATTTCTCTCCTTATGTTCTATTCTGAAACAGTATTCAACATATCACGCCAAAACTAGTAATTTATTAAGTGTAATTGGTTGAACACACACCATCTGTTTTACCTGTCATATTTTAAGTTTAAATTTTTAGCTTTGTATACATATTATTACTTGATTGAATGGCACCTCTAACTCCTTTGTAATGTAATCAGTCCGTCAGTATGCATTTCTGCTTATCGAATCATCTAAATTTGGTAACTTAACTAATGTGTCGAGTTGACAGAGACAGTTAGAACGAAAATTCAAGTTGCAACAGAATTCCAACACCCTAACCCAACAGTTGAAATCACGCACGCGACATGTTTTATTTCTAATTTGATGCACAGATTTTTTTTTCTTATCGTTAAGCAGACTTTCATTTCACATTGTGTGTTGGTGGTGCAGTGTTAGAACACTCGCCAACATTGCACGCACATGGTCCGCACATCGATCCTTGGCCAACTCACTCCTAAACCTCACTAAGCCAGTAGTAGGGCCAGTAAAGAGGAGAGGTCGAGAGTGAGGCTAGCAGCCGCACCCAGTGAAAATTAAACCACTGATACAGAAACTTCAGAGCTCAAAATTGAAGCCCTAAGTTCCACTCGGAATGTGTAGGAATAAAACAAATATTAATAAATAAATTACTTCACATTTTTCTTCAGCTTGGTAATTCAGTCAACATTTCTGATTGTCTCGTGCTTGTCAAGACAACTGCATTTGGAAATTGACTTAAAGCTGTCAAATATTGTTATTCAGAGTACTTAACAAAAAAGAGCCTCTAATTTATAAGCATTTGGGTAATTGACGAATACATTTAGTGTCAACTGTGTCAAATAACACCAAGGGCAAATGACCTTGAACCAACCAGTCAGATCGCCCAGAATTACAAATGGATACTTTACATAATTTTCGTTGCAATTTTTATCGTAATTCAGATTAAGGTTAGGGTAGGATTAAGGTAGGTAATGATTGAGGTTGGAGTGAGACTTGCAACGAAAATAATGAAAAGTATCCATTTGTCATGCTGAACGATTTGATTGGTCGTTTCAAGGTCACTCGAAGTTTGTGTCTACCATTTACTGTTGCCCATTTAGTTACTTATTTCAATGGTTTGTCTTACAATTACTGAGACAGTTCAACACTTTATCTGCAAATATATATAATTAAAGTTATAGATTTGTATTGACAGGAGGAACCACGGCATTTATATTAAGTTGACTTGATGAACATAAGACTTAGCATTTCAACCTAGCAGTCCAATTTACCACGGTTTCTATCTGCAAAGCAACTAGAAAATATGCATTGAAACAAGGGGATTGTGTTATCCATGCATTCGTTCTTCACAAGGTGACATTTATCACAGATCCACTGAAAAAACCCAGCGCATAGCATTTCTTATGATGGACTGTTCAGTAATATCAACTAGCGGTGTTTTAAGTTATTGACTCTTGTGAGCAGGTTATTACTAGTCCACTAATTTAAAAGTTGATCAGTAATATTATCTAGTTTTCAGGGGTTTCCGGTAAAATGCTGTCATTGTGCAGTATGATCATTCAATAACTGTTATCACTACTTTTTGTTATTAAAACTGCCGTAGTATAACAGATCGAATGACATAGATTACTGACTTCTTTAAAGAATATTCCTGTCTAATCGTTTATAAGGAGTCGTTTGAAATGTTTTCTGTATCACCAATGAATTGGAGTAAGTTCGTTATTGCATATGAGCTGGGAGTATTCACTACCCTTCACATGAATATGAAGCGACTTATAGGCAGATCGTGCAGCAGATAGCACATTTTAATCTCAACGCATTCAGCCTCCAATGAACGTGATCATGATTAATACTGTAGTGTACTTTGATTGGATACTGGTAACCAGCGTGGTGTGTCTAGTCCCTTCTTTGGTGCAAACTGAATTCTGTTAGTAAGGTTTGCAATATGCCTACCATTCTAGGTAGTCCGACATCATGGTGAACATTGATTTGATGATATTAGGTGGTTGGAAGCAGTCGACTACAGGAAGCCTTGGACCTAGATTTCGTGATAGTTGGCACTCGTCAGCAAGGCGTATCTGCTACCTTGTAGGGACTCGTGTTCATTCTGAGATTTAAACCCGTGCCACCTAGTGCTATAGTCAGAGACGTTACCGCTGAGCTATTCGGCCTCGAGACTGACCTCCAGTAGGACTATACTGGACATTTGGATTGAACACTAATAACTGCTGTGATGTGTCTAGTCCTGTCTTTGACGCAGATTAAATCCTATAAGTGTACTACAAATATCTCACTCTGAATATATATATGTATATTAAATGACAGTCAGGCAATTTGACCTTGCATCAGCTTCTTTGCTATCATTGTCTAGTCAGTCAAAAATATAAGTAAATAAATCTGCTTAGGTATTCAATGAAAAAGACTGGTCATGACTAACAACAACAACAACAATGAGAAATGAAGTAGCAAATTAATTTGAATTCTGCTCACCTTTTTGTAAACATGCATAACATGGTTTCATATCTTTAGGACAATTAATGATCACTTGATCTGGTTTCACTAAACTTTCAAGGTTAACACTTTCATCTAGGAAAAACGAAGAAGTATTAATACGATAAGGCTTTTTTCGCAATGAAAATATCCTTATATGGGGAGTAAACAGAACAGAGAAAAAGATAAGGCAGAGTGAGTGAGAACTTAGCCATGCATATTAATGATCATTAAAATATAAGTTGGCCATAATGAATATAATTATCTTGTAAAAGATGGAAGATTGAAGGTGAAATGAAATCAACAATCAACCTTTGGATGATTCGGAGACTGTGAGGTTCAAATAGGATGGAGATTGAGATTTTAATTTCACCTACAATTACACTCACTGAGTCAGTGACAGTTTGTCAAGCCAGGACTACCTCACAATGAAAACAAATCTTCCTAATGATGAATTCATAATGAGCTGAATTTTTTTTATTAACAATGAACTGATATCTGGTTGGTCAAGAAACCGATATTCAAGAAAATAGTAAGCTGGATAATCACTTAACGATTTCTCAATGTATCTCCGGCCCATGTCAAATTCATTCTTGGTTGATTCTTTGCATTGACAGAGTTTCTTGTTGCTTATCCTTAGTGGCTGACAGGCAATCTAATCTTCACCATGAAACCGTGATGTCAGCTGTCGGTGAAAGTCTGCGCTAGGCTGTTGGAAATACTTTTGGCGACGGCTGCGACAGTTTCTGAAGCATAGGAAAACAACGACCTGATGTTAGGGTTGAAATTTGGAATCTTGTTCATTTTCCTGTGGATATCCACATTGATTTCAGGATAATCAATACCTGTCTTGATTTCCAGATCCTGGCTGGTTTTAACACTCGATCCCGTTGACATATGTGAACAGAACTTGGTATGAGAATGACTCAATATTACGAGGATTACTCAGTCAATGAAACGCATGTTCTGGATTCTGCCGCTAGCCATCACCAAACAGTTAACTTTAATCTACAACTGCGCATTAAAATTATTCAGCGTAATAAATAATAATATTAATAACTAAATCAAGTATCTTAAAAGGACCTTTGAAAACCAAGGAGCCCTGGACAGCTTCTTCTTCCCCCTAGTTTATTCCCTTCCAGTGGTAGGTGCACACAACCTTACAGGGAGTTAAATCCATTAGACTTCAGGTCAATAGACCAGCTCGTCAGTCAGTCAGTCACTCACTCACTGGGTCGATACCCAGTGCCAATTTGTAAAATAGCGATACAGCCAACCGCTGTCATCGATTTGCATCCATGCTCCATCCTGACACAGTAGATCCGACCAGCTACGATTTACTTTTGATGTTCTTCAGCTTAAAAATAATTTTACTGACACATCAGAGAGAATCCGTCTGAATGATACCCGCTGGATTTTTTAAAATATTTTATTTATCTCTAATAGTGCAAATTTATAATGTAAACAATTCATTTTTGTTTATGTTTTAATTAATTCGGTTTATTATGATAATATTATGCTTTCAAGAAGTGTATGTATGAATGATAATAATAATCAGAAAAAAACCGTATTATTTGTCATTTGCACTATCGTTTCTCATTTTAATTTCATTACATTTTATTCAGTTCAAAGCATGAGAGATATGAAATATGTGAATGGACGAATAGTGTGATGAGAGGTGAAAAAATATTTGTTTACATAACATCCTAGTAAAATTAAGGCACAAATGAGATCCACTCAGTAGTAGTGTGGTGAGAGCTGGCTGTTAGCCAAAATTGGTGGACAGTAATTTACGTCAATGTTTATGTCCCAATATTGGTCGTGAGAAAAATGAGAAGAAAGGCTTTGCGTAGTCGGGGTCAGTTAGCATATAGATGATCTGACATTCAAGAAACAGCTGCAAAGAGATGAAAGGTTAACTTTCTGTAAGAAACAACCAATCAGAAGACTGTGTTTTTCTGCTAATAATAATCTATAATAATGTACATGTAAATCTATAAATATGTGTTGATTTCGTTGTTAAACGATCTGTTGCCTGGTCCTTGCCTTTTTTGTTACAGATATCAGAGGAGTAAAAGTCAGACTTATGTAGGCTTGTCTACTGGATGACTGGCCGGGAGTAACCTGTAGCACTTCAGCCTGCTACTTGTTTAAATATGCAGAAAATCCCTAAAATAGATTTAATCTGCAGGATTATGCAGTGAAACGTGACCGCTGAAAGTGGAAGATATGAAAGGATTATTCTCCTCTGATCACAGGCGCCTGCTTCAAATTTCTCGAAAGTCAATCGATGAGGTTGTGAAGCTGCATTGATTGACATGGCTGGGACATATGAGTCGCTCATAGTGAGTATTTTCGACCAACAATGTTAGCTGACAAGGGATAAGATTAGATCAGAGTTACGTTTAGTCAAGTCAAAGCATATCACCACTCCATGCAGTCATCAACTTTCAGGTAGAACCACGGGAAGAAGTGTAGACTGCTTGGCTGGTGCTCATAAGGTGATAAGGATTAAGAGTTGAGTACTCTTAGAGAAGCGGTTCAGAAGTGTTCTCACTGGCTCAAATGTATTTACTCTTTAAGATCCTCCAGACTTACTTAGTTATTCTATAATCTAAACATATGTAGCATTATGCAATTTCAAACAATAAATATTTCTTCCAACATTATTTATTCACTCTGGAATGACAGCTAAACCCAGTGAAGTAAGAAGATGACAAGCAGTTTAAAAAAAGTATTTAAAATTTGATATATTTGACTTACCTTGTCCCTCAAATGATAAGCCTAATTGCGATTCGTCTAATTTACACTCTGAAGAATGGAATGAACAGATACACGGCTTACATCCTAATGGATCATTTGACATAAGACCATAATGACCAATTTTACATCTAAAATAAAATGAAAATAGGGGTCAGTGGAGTGATGAATTAGAACTGTGAAGTCAAAATATAAATGGGCATTATTTCAAGGCATTCACATCTACAGTTATATCGCTTATTCAGTGTACTCTTGTAACAAAAGAGAATATCAAAACGAAATAGCATTTAAAGTGACCTAGACAGACTGACAAACAGTTACATGGTACTTACCTAAGACACCTTCCTAAATAATTCTCTCCAACTTACTAGCGTATTAATATTGTGAATAAAATTCGACTTGGAGACTGAAATGTGAAGAAGCTGTCTCTTCACCTACTGTTTGGTGGTTAAAAGCAAAGGCCAATAGACCTGTTTTGACTTTTGTTTGAAACGACTGATATAAACAGTTAGTTGGTTTTTCATTATTGGGGAGGTTTTTTAAATGTGCAATACACTGTCAGACAGATGCAGATATGTGACTGACTGGCTTCAGCATAAAAACTTTGCACAGATGTGCAGCAGTTCGAGTTGTCACTCTACCCATGTGCACACAAAGCAAGACAAGAGAGTAAAGAGAGGTTCAAAAGAGAGATAATAAATAGAAGTGTGAGTAAAAAAGAAAATTAAAATGGAAGAACAATTAAGATTTATTAGATATGATAAATCAAAAAGAGTGAATGCATCCTCGTCACCAATGAGAATGATTTTGAGCCATATCACCAGTTGTCTCCAGCCTTCATTGGTCCTTACCATCCAGAGGACCCCAACCAGCCAGGAAGTCTACACCACCCTACGTGGCTGATTTAAACTAACAGTTGTGGATTTCATTGACTGGTGCCGTGTTTTGGCTTGATTAACACTAGCTCTTTTCCAAACTGATCAATCCAATGTCAGCTAATATTGCCCATCAAGGAAGGCGATGGCTAAGCATCCATGAGTAACACATATCCTAACCATCTCAATTGGTGTAGCCTCACAATTTTGTCAACTGACTTTCCTTCCCTCCTTAACTAACACTCGACAAGGCCTAACCACAATATTGCTCCGCCTATTATACTCCCTAACATGGGAGGTAGAATCCAGACACATATGATCAGGGCTAGCTAGGCAAAATTTTCTTATCTTCCACTTTCAGTGGCCCTCTCTCTCTCACAGCCATAAAGGAGGACGGAGTGAACTGCTGCTAATTTGCGGTACACACGTCCTTTGGTCCACACCGGATATAAACTCTACGCCAATATGGAGTAAGTTGTGATATGTCAAACGAGCTTTATTTATCCGTGCTGAGATTTTGTCATAGATTAATTCTTTGGGGCCGATTCGAATTCCCAAATAAATCAAGTGGTCAGCAGGCTCCACTAGTTCCCTCCCTATTTCTAAGCTAGGAGTAAGTACAGTCCAGTACAGTTCAGTCCAGTCCGGCCCTGTAGCATCATCTTACATTTGACAGAGGGAGCGAATCGCATGCCGAAAAGTCGAAGACTCCTGCTCAAGGTGATCATAAGACTCTGCATTTTGTCAGCGTCTTCACCTAGAAGGACTATATCACCTACATATTATAAGTCAAAGAGATCATCCCCTGGTAAATAATTAATCTCTGAGTCGCTGAAATCATTTAGAGTCAATATCATTAGCGCATCTACGATGAAATTAAATAAAAATGGGGACCGCTGGACATCTCTGACGGACACCACTAGTCATCAACAGTTCATATGACAACTCGCCATAAGCTCTCACCTGACTGCATGAGTTCGAGTAGAGTGATTCGATTACTGTGATGTACTTTCTCAGTATTCCCTTCACGGCCATACATTGCCATAGCGCCTCTATGTCGGCAAAGTCGAATGTCGCTTTCAGGTCAAGAAATATTGAAACTGTTGGACACCGGCAAGTATCCCTAAGCTCCAGAATCTATCAAAGGGTGAATACATGATCAATACTTTGTCTATTTGTTCTAAAGCCGGACTTGAAGGTTGGCTTGAATAACATCATAAGTGTAACTTATGATCTTTGGTTTGCTAGACTGCAGCCTTGTCAACTTAATTACTTCATCCTAGTGCCGGAAACCTATTGCCCGACAAATATATAGAAGGAAATGGAGATGAAATGCAGACTTACACACTGGGGGAGTACTCAAGTGACATCACATTGAAAATCAGACTCGAATAAGAAGGTACATGTAGGGTGTAGATACGACTGTGGGATGGAAATAATTTGATTAAAGGGACTGACCTACCTTGAAACTAGTTGAATGTGATGGTAGAAAATGAAGTAGAACGGAGGTGTCCCATGGAAGCTTTATCTTCCACTGGGATTGCAAGGAGTAAATAATAATAATCGAAACGAGATATAATTCATTGGGGAACTCAAGGGTTGCCTAATGTGGTTTCCAGTGAATGCCTAAGAAGTGTTTGAATCAAGCTAAATAAATTAATTTATTCATGTCATCTGTTTTGTTTCCTTTCCATTCTAACATGTATTCACCAATATCCAGTCATCAATATATTAGGCCTCTTAATAATGGCATCAGATATATAGAAATATCTAATTTGCTTAACCTGGAGTCCTCCTCATTTCAAGAAACAGTGATTCACTTTAAACTTTTCGAAATGGTTTATCATATTCCAAATTTAGAACTTCTGATCTTATTTTAACAATTCGGCTTTTTTTCATGCTAGAATGAGTATATGTTGAGGCCTTAATCTAATCCTGAACCTAAGCAATGGAAAAAATTATAATGGTAATGTTAGCTGATTTCGAAAAGAAAAGCTTTCAGTGACAACTGATCAGCGTATATGTGATAGAACCAGTGTTCACTTCATAAAGGAGTGTGAAGAGATTCGTTTGTCATAGATTTCCAGGGACAGAAGGTCAATAAATTCTTACTGCCTTCAATGTGACTCGACTATCATTTCTAACCCAGTTAATTTATGCTATGTTTTTTGACGTAGCATTGGTCTGTAACAAAAACCGCTTGAGGACAGTCATTACTAAATATTTATTTTTGTGTCTCAGGTTTTTGGACAGTAAAACATTGTAGTCAATTGAAAATATAAGTAGGAGACTATCGCAGTTCGTCAATAACTACCTGAGGTTGTTTTGAACATGTTGTTATTAGGTGGTTAGAGACAGCTGGCAGGAAGCCCTATTTGACCTGGGTTTCATGATTGCTGGCACTTACCCGTCAGAAAAGTGCATCTGCAAATTGAAGGAACTCATGCCCCATCTGACATTGGAATCCGTACTACCCAGTGTTGCAGTCAGAGATGTTATCACTAGGCTATTGGGTTTGGCGACTGATCTCCTGTTGGATATTTCACTGAACACATGATACTAATTACCAACCAGTCTGTAATCAAACTATGTTGAATATCTTAGGTGACTACCACTTAATTCTGCACTTGATTGTAGGAATAAATTGTCTTGTTACTTATTTCAAGTTTGATAAAAGAATGATGTCATTTGGGGAACCACTAGTCAAGCTCGTAGATCATTCACCCAGTGAGACCCCACTCAACAGCCAGCCCATGAATTCTGACCTACTAAATTAGTGATATGCGTAACGCGACTGGAACCAGCCAGTGTCATCGGTGGCGGGTGTTTGTCCTCACTGCTCACCTGATGGACCCTAGTGGTCATGACTTCTCACTAGAAGTGAAGACAATTGCTTCGTGTACCCAGTTACTAGAAAGCATTAAATTAATTTTCAAGATTTAGTTCGTATTGAGTGTTCTTAAACTGGCTTAAAAGTGAAGAGTTTTTTTGTCAAGGTTTATGGAGTGAGAAGATGCTTATTTTGTGTTGAGTGATATCTGAATCATCGATTTTTGCTCCTTAAATAATGATACTTTAATTATATTTTTTACGGTTTCAATTATCCGTCTAGCCAAAGTGAAGAGATACACAATCAGTCGCTTTCTTTATCCAGAAAGACAATAGAATCTTTGCGAATAAACTTTTCCAGGTAACAAAACCTTTTTTTCTCCTTCTAATTTGCGCATAAAAAGTGTCTGTCTGAACTAAGAAAAGTATTTTTCTTGCCATTATCACACCAGTAGAATTAACTGGAGAGACTGTTATTATTCCTGGTGGACATTGGTGTTGAAAAATGCTGTGAATTCAATCAAATGGATTAATATTTCTGGGGGAAAAAACCCAACAAGAACACGGAAATATAAAGTAATGCATGCATTTAAGCCTTGAACGACTGGCTCACGTGTTCATTTTCCAAATCATCCCAGTTACTACATATCGATTAGGCAAACAGTGAGTAAATATAAGATACCTGACAATGGGTGTGGCTGATAATCAAGGCCATTGAGTAGCATAAACTTACAACAATATACAATACCAATTATATTTCAGTAAATGCAAAATAATACATTTAAAAAATGATTAGACAGAGTTATCGATAGGAATCAGATATCTGCAAGGTAAAATTTTAAATAGGCATTCTCAATTCATTTGGAAATGACAAATTCACTAAAGATGTCCATTACAAATTTTAAAAGCCTAATTAATGAACAATAAGCTGGGGGTAGATTCAAGCAACAAACAACCAGTTGAAGAAATTGATTCAAAGAAAGACTAATGTTGGTAAGCTGCTCCTATGGAGTCAGTTATGTTGGCTGCTACTCTAAGGACTAGATTTATCGTTCTCAGGGACATCTACCAGTGTGGTGAAATAAATAGTGTTGTTAAAACCGTCAACAGTTCTATATTGGGCCAACTCGTTGAAACAGGCCACAATCAGTCTTTCTCTATCATCTATAGGGTATGGAATAAGTTACTAAAGGTGTCTAGACAACAAACACTCAAAACAGCAGAGGCCACTGCAGTTAGCTTAGATTAACTGGAGCTCTGTGTGCAGAAGAAACAGATGCAGCCATTATTGCTACCCTGGTCTGCTGTTAATCCCATAAATTCATAAATTCTGTGCTACCTATCATAATTTATCTGATATTCAGTTGGTTTAGTGTCGTTATATTGCTATCACATATTAGTCTCTCTCTCTCTTACTAATGCTTTTGAATTGTAATCACTTTTGATACTATTGATTCAGGTTAATTTAAAACAGCATTTATGTTGTTAATAGAAATATTCCCTAATTACTACTTTCACATAAGTGTAGAACCTGATGACGAAGTTACTGAAAAGAATATTCTGTGTTCAATAATCAGTCATTTGAAAATTGTAAATTACTAAACGACATGAAAACCAGCCTTAGCTTACTTGTCACACTGTTTACCAGCTGTATTTTGTTTACACACACACTGTCCAGTCTGTGAATCACACATTCGACGATTTTCGTAACTTCCGGCTTCATTACAATTGCAGGGCCTAGAAAAAAAGGCAGGTGGACACAGGCATTAAAAAAATGGCACAATGTCTATTCTCATTTGTCATTGGTAGAAAAATTAATTTTGTTTTAGGAGATGACTTTATGCATCAGGGATTTCATTAGAGCACTAAACAGACTTCAGTAACCATGTTTGAATTCTAGTTGGCATGAGATTCTATATAGTTGGATAGTCTATGGGTGTCCGTAAGTCTCACAATAAGTTACTTAGATGAATGCGAAAACATATAGGATTCAAAGGAATTAGCAGCTCACAAGAATGCTAATTCGGACATTGTTACAAATGACGGTTAAGATTTGTGGCTTAGGTGGATAACATCGGTGTAATTAACAACTTCGAGGTGGTTGATTTAATTGCGAAGACTTCATTCTCTCCGTAGATAACATCACAGCTGAAGATGTCATCTAGGTAGAGAATGAAAGTTTCAGATAACACAGTTACATCAATAAAATCTGATTTAAACAACGAGGAGTATTAGCGGAATCATATAACGTCGATAGATAGAGAAGACCTTTCTTCGAAAGGAAATGGAAAAGCTGTAGACTTCATATTCTGAAGAAGATACATCTGATCTGATACTACTCAGTGAAAATCGAGTTAAGAATGAAAACTGTTCCAGATTTTCAATGCAGCTGCAAAACCTAGTAATTCGCCCTAAGAAGAAACAGTCAAGAGTGAATGCAACTCTTAGCGGTCAAAATGCCTATCCTTCAAAACTAAAGTTAGTTAAGAATAATAATCAGTCTGGTGGTTAGGTTTCCTGCCTTTCACCCAGGTGGGCCATATTTGAATATCTGACATAAATCTCTTATTATTATTATATACAATTTTGAGCCGGCGTAATGCCTTTATAACTTACTAGTCATAAATAATCCCTAACTTTAAATTTTTAGTGAAGTTTACATTCGAATCGACAAATGAATGTATCAGTCTGTTTTATATATAGACTTATGCTATCATAAAAATGACGGTAGAAGAATATTATGTCTTCAGTGTTAGATTGTAGGGATTTTATTTGTTTCAAGTTTGACCAAAAATCGATTTCATTCAGAGAACCACTGAATATTAGTCAGATGCTGGCTAGTCACTGGATACACAAAGAAGTTGTCTACACTTCTACTGAGAAGTCGTGACCACTAGGGACCGTCTGGTAGGAAATGTGTACAAATACACGCCGCCAATGACATTTAATGATGCCAATTGAACTACATACATCACAAACTGGTTTAAGTACAATTCATGGACTGGCCATTGAGTAGGGTCCCAAAGGCTAAATAGTCTACGAGTTTGACTTATAACCTGAAGGTCCTGGGTCTGTACCCTTGTGGTGGGTGTGTTTAGTCGATGAACTACAAATCGGGAAAACAGAATTAGGGTATCCAGTACTCCGTGATAGTTTTCAGTGGTTCTCCAACTGATTTCAAGCCACAGTTAAACTTGAAATATTCTCTTGCTTATCGAAGTCACTGAGGAAATATTTTGAAGGAAGTCAACTGGCTATTGATTAATGATTAATGTAACTGTTCACTCTGAATTGTATCAATGGAAATCTGTTGATTGTGGGTACATTGTCATCAGTTAGCTAAATAACACGATACAGTATTGGAGTTATACTTCAGTATGGCATGTTTGGAACTAGTTAACAGAAAGTCTTAGGCCTTAGTTTCATGTTTATTGTACCCTGTAGTAAAATTTTCATTTCACTCTTAGATTGTCTAATCATCCGATGAATTTAATAGAGTATCAGTATTCAGCTATTTTATCATACACAAAGATGTCTTTAGGTTTTTTTAAGTAGAAACAAATATGAATATATATTTTGTGTGTGTGTGTGTGTAGTGTGTGCAACTAACTAGTTGTTCATTCTATCCAATATGTAGGTTAAATCGTGTGAGTTTATTGTCTCTTTCTTACACTAAAATTCCAGTCAGAACAAATAAACTGTAGTTTACATCCTACAAATGATTGGCTGAATCAATTTAATAGTTTATTTTTCTAGAATAAATATAACAGAATCTGAACATTATGTTAAATGTATTGCATGTTCTTTTTTCAGACTATTAATTATTTATCAAGTGTTAGTTTGCATGGATTTAGTTGATTACATGCTTGATCATGGGCTGACTTCATTTAGAGGACCATTAGAAGATCAGGGAGTACTGGATAGCTGTTTTTTCCTAGTTCAGGACTCTTCATCAGTACACGCCTACCTCCAGTGTTCGAAACCACTACCTTCTAGAAGGATGTTGCAACCAGCAGCGTCCTCCGAATCAAGGGAGGGGGTAGTTACTCGCCTGGCACATTGGCCGGTGGTTGCGCTAAATACATCACAAACTGGCAGAAGTTGGAATTCAGGGACTATTGAGTCGAGGCACACTGACTGGGTGGTGTACAACGTTGTCTTCTAACTGGAAGGTCCTGAGTTCGAACCGCAGTGTGTGGGTACAGCTGAAGAGTCTTAAGCTAAATATTTAACTTATTTAGTCATGTTTGATAGCGGATTGATATCAGTTAGAGAACCGTTGAAAGCCAGAGAGTACTGGACAACTGTTTCTGTTTTCTGGTTTGCGGCTCATTGGCAATAAGCACCCATTGGGGTTCAAATATATGACCTTCCAGCTACAATTCAAGCTCGCAGACTATTCAGCCACTGAGAACCCCACTAAATGACCAGCCTGTGAGTTTCAACTTCTACCGATTCGTGATATATGTAGCGTGATTGGCACTAATCACTGTCACTGACGATGACCATTTGTCCTCATTTCCTACCAGGCGGTCCCTTCTTCGTGTATACGGTGACTAGCCAGCATCATATTAATTATCAAGATTTAGTTTGCAGGGATTTGATTTTTCGTATGGATGATTTCACCATGAGCTGACATCAGTTAGAGAACCATTGGAAAACCTGGGAGTACTGGACATCTGTTTCGTCAGCCTAGTTTGGGACTCTCCGTCAGTACGCACCCACCGGGGTTCGAACCCAGGACCTTCTGGTTACAAGGCGAGCTCGTAGGCCATTGAGCCACTGGGACCCGATCCAATGGTTCTTCAATTTTTAACTTCTGCCAGTTTCCGACATAGCGCGACTCCTTCGCAATGTCTTCTTCGATGAGTTGCTGCCTCATCTTCGACCTGCTGTACCGTACTGGTCACGGATTTCCACTAGAACCCCAGGTTAACTGCCTGAATGGGGCCAGTCGCTAGCGAGCATCAGATTAATTATCAAGTATTGGTTTTGTAGGGATTTTGTTTGGATGGATGGATTTCACCATTATCTTTTTATTTTGTTTTCTTTTGTAGATAAATTTTGCTTATACAATCAACGTTTATGTCAGTCTTATCTACTTGTCGACTAAACCATATATTTTTTATTGGATATTGTGAGTGGTGGTGTTTGTAGAGTCAATGGAGTGAAGATGAAATCATTTCAAGGAAATGAAAGAACTCTATTTCATATGATAAAAACCCACAGTGATACAGCACCTTTCACTGATAACGTTTCGAGCATAATTTATTACTCTTCAGTATACATACATATATAATATCAAGTCGCTATTCAAATAACTTCCAAATTTCCTCTATATAATTCCATCATTTTTACCTTCAGTTTTGCTGGTAGCAGTATCTTCCATATCTCTGGTATTGGTGTTGAATGGTTCCCAATAGACGTCTTAAGTGTAGAATCAACGAATAAGGCTTCAGTGATCAACTTTTACCAACCCCGACAACTAACTATATTACTTTTCAGGGCTGTAGCTCCATCTCGTCGTTGTGTGTTAGTTCATGCATTGTGACTGATGAGTTTTCTCCAAGTTATTCATCTTCATAGGGTCAGTTATTGTACATTCAGCCTAATTCCTCTATTTCGATAACCTGGCTGATCTCGATTTGCTGGTTTGTTCTATTTAGCCGACTTCACTGTGATTGCCATGTATTTTTTAGATCAAATTAATTTGCTTAATTAGGTCAGTAGGGGTCTTCAGCTTACACAGCTTTTCTCTAAGTGAATTTGTAGGTTTAAATGCCAGTCTAATCTCTGCTTTATTGATGATCCCATGTGGGGTTTCAGATGTCCCTTCCTGATATGGTAAAACTTTATTGTTATTGTTGTTCCTTTGGGTTCCGAGTGGAACATAGGGCCTCAACAGTACGTACGTCTCCACTGTGTTCTATTCTCTGCAGCCCTGTTTAGCTGGTCCCAAGACGGTCAGTAGTTTTTCATCTCCTCGTCACACGGTCTCCTCCATGTTACCCTCGGAAGCCCACTTGTCGTTCCCCAGTTGTGAAATTGTATGTACCTTACATTCTTCTTTATAATTTATGTTATGGTTAATAGTTTCACTACCGTTTTTCCCTTTATTCTGAGCTTTCTCGATCCACTCAATGATTTTTATGAGGTGGTTAATAAGCACTAACGCTTTTTCCATTTGTTTCATTTCATCATTTAGGCTTTTTTGGTGTACTATTTAGAGTTTTTGTTTGGTGTCTATGCTGATAATGGATAAGATGAATTAAAGCCTAAGTATCAATTAGAGAGCATTGACGTTTTATAAACCCTAAGCACAGCTTACAGTCTAGTATAGCTAATTCTCTTTATTTATTTATTAACGCAAATGCAAGTTCATTCCCTTTACCATTGAGTCCATATATGTGAAGAAAGTAAAGATACATCCTGTTTTTTACAATGTGAAGGTGTTACCCGCATATCTCCTCATTGATATGATTATGAGCAACAATAAGATGTGCTCAAAACGTCATCAATAAACAATGTAATATCACTGTATGCTTTTGTCAAACAAAATTATTTCGTGATAGAATAATACTCTACCACTGTGCTCAAGCTCTGTCTCTATGTCAAATGACAAGAATATCGTGCACTTTTCCCCGTAACTTGGTCATATCAATTAAGCTATTAAATCTATTACTTTTAAATGACTTATTCTGGCCGGTATTTTTTCTGGGATATTCATGCTATTCGCATCATGAAAACTGTTATTCTTTGAAGAAGCAAACTGGTTATGGATGGTTGAAGTCAATGAGTAGACAGATCTATGCTTAGTTGAACTGTGAATTGATTCGATGTTCGCCACCAAGGAGATTGATGCTTTATTCATCAGTGTAAGTCCACATTTACTTCAATTCAGCTGATAGCAAGTAAGCTTATATTAATTAAAGCATGAAAACTGAATGGATTTGGTTATCAACTCAATGTTGTAAAGATTATTTACAAATATCGCCAATCTGATATGCTGTAAGGGTTCTCATAAGCTGTATTCGATACTTCACATATATATTCTATGAATAAATATACTTACAGACATCCTCCTGCGCTGAAACCGAAATGATCTTCTAGACAACGATCACAGCGTTTACCACCGACACCTGGTTTACACACACACTGACCTTGTGCATTACAATCCATTTGACCATCAAGAGTACCCACAGGATCACATGAACATGGTAAACACGATGTTGGTTGTTTAGGATTAGGATAATGACCTGGTTTACATTTTTCACAATTTATTCCTTCAGTATTATTACCACAGTTAATACATCGACTTCCTGAACCAGTACGACTGTATAATTCATAATCAAATTCACATAAATATGCATTCCCGTTACAATTACAAGCTGAAAGAGAATTAGTATTTTTTTTAATGAATAGTACAACGAATCAATTTTCTCTAAAAAATTACTAGTTTACTACAGTTGTACTATATAAAACTTTATAATTTAGAGGAAGTATTCATGATGAAATCATTTGAGATGAGCAAGTCGATAAAGTGCAGCTTGACTTTTTGTAATGTACGCACCAAGGCTAACAGCTATTTACTATCGTTATAACCATTCCTCCGAGTGGGATATAGAGCTTCAACAGAACGTCTCCACTTCGTCCTATTCTCTATGGTCCTCTTTAGCTGGTCCCACAATTACCCACAGGCTCTCATTTCCTCTTTACACAATCTTCTCCATGTCAGCCCTGAATCCAGACTGGACCCCTTGTTAACCCTTTGGGCTTTACTAGGACGATGGTCTCCTTAACATGTGTCTGACGCGATCCAAATTTTTTTCTGCATATTTGTTGAACGATAAGTTCTCGATTGACTCGTTCCCAGAGTTTCTGGTTGATAATTCTTTCTGGTTTGCTTACCACTTGATCTTCAGTGTGGATTCACTGAAGGCAGCTGCTGATAAAGGTCTCCAGCCTATGGGAGAATTAGCAACTATTCTATTAATATAATTTTATCAGTAAGCTTATGCAGTGAGAACAAAGTATCGTAACTGGACAGTCTTGACCTCTTAGGAAAACGTCTCTTCCACTACCAAGAGACTTCAGTGTGCTGTTGAGGTTGCTATTGCAGTAGCACTGAACGGGATCTCATTCAGCGTTAACTTTACTATGCAGCAAAACTACTCTCCTGCACTGATATTGCTCTGGTCTATTAGGCAGAATATTAAGATCCTCTGAAACTTCTATGACTCTTAAGCTTACGAAATTTACCCAGTGTTCTTTATATGCCAGAGCAGAAAGATGGAAATTTGATATAATTTACAAGTTAAATTGCAGTGAATATGGTAAGGCTGTATTGGAAGCCTGTGTCACAGTAAAAGTTTATTTTTCCTGTCTTGAGGATCATGGGCATCGTTTATCTACACATACATGTATATCAATACTTTTTGTGTCCCCAATAAAAGTTGAACATTCGTATTTACCGAGAAGAAAGAGTGTAAAGTGTCAAAAATTCTTTTAACAGGTGTACGTTGCACAACTTACCAACGCATGGATTTGCATTTTGTGGTGTAGCTGGCTGCCATGGTCTATCTTGATAGCCTGCACTACATTGTTCACAATTATCACCAGATGTATGGTGAGCTGGATCACAAACGCAGACTAAACGATCTTTTTGTCCTGGTCCAGAACTTTTCCTGCATTCATTACCATGTCCGTGACAAAGACACCTTGAAGAAAATATAGATTAGGAAGAATTAAATACATCTGTGAAAAAATACTCAGATTGAAGTACGTCTTCGAAGCCTCTAAGTTGCGTAATTCACGTAAGCGATATTTCTGCCTACAACATCACGACATATCAACATAATGCCTTTCATAGTCGAGTTGGCAAACCGTCAGCAGCTTCTACAAAATTCCTCAGCTCATAAACGTAGGTGAAAGAATTGTCTCTATCCTTAGGTCTTATATCAGCAGGTTAAATACTACGGGAAGTTGAGCAACTAGCCATTTTGGCAATGGGTTTACTCTTTCCATTTCTCATTTTAGGTTGTATAGTATAGTCAGTAACAATGCACTTAGTGGTGTAGTATTAGGTAAGGAGAGGAAGACATTCAATAAAGTTGTGAAACTGCATCCATTTAGATGAGTAGAACACAAGTTGCTCATGCCTAGCCAAGTAGTGTTGATTGGCGACAGATTAGATCGGAAAGGAGTTAGAGGTGGTCAAATCAAAATGTATCATTGTTCAATAAAGCCCTTAACTATTATCCTGAGTCACATACGAACGTGGAGGATGTAAGGCTGTGGTTCTCGAGAAGCTGAGAATTGGTGGCTGGAGGATGTTTATGACATGGCTGAAAATAGTTCTCAGTGGGGCAGACTCATTCACTCTTTTTAATTTCGCAGAAACAACACTTTTTTGCATGGTTCTACCTTGAAAATTCATACTGTGATAAAGGTTTCACCTGTTTGTAAACGAATCAAACTAAAAACTTTGTGATTTCATTTAATGAATAACGAGTTGTAAATAAAGAGAAGTCTCTAAACTATAGTTAATCTAGACATATCTAGAAACAAACAAGAGTCCATTCTGGGACAGAATATTGTAACAGCAGAATGAGGGTATGTTATATAGTGCGTCAGTGGCACAGTGGTTAGGATTCTCGCCAACCATGCACATGGTCGAAGGTTCGATCCCCTGCCGACGCACACCTGCAAAATTTGGGCTACCGATATCCATGCTGAAAATTCCATACTTGTACCAAAACACAGTGTGGAATCAAGCTGTAATCAAAAATAAAAATAAAAAATAAAATAAAATTGCATAAGGAGGAATTGTATAGCTTTTAGAACGAATAAAAATAAAAAGCTATATAAAGGTAAGCGTCACGTAAATAGTACAACTGACTCATCAGTAATATATATGCTTTCTCCAGACAGTTTGGTAATGTGAAGATCCTAGCATAAAGTGTGCTAGTTGAAGACACCCAGCTCCAAAAGAGCATTCATAGTTGTAAAAAGTCACATGATAAAGACCAACTGACGGGCTATTTTGGGGCTTATTATTGCTGTTTCTGGTTATATCGAATTAACCTTTTAGTTTATACGCATAAAGAAATAAATGAACTTAAATTCTCTTATTTTAGGTCTTTTGTACCACTAAAGCTGTGGCTCTCTGTAACGTCTTTGTAATACGATATCCTTAGGTTTTCAATACTTCAGAATTTCTTTGACGTGTAGTGTAATTAACTCCATCGTCATACCCTTACTTTAACAATCCAGATTTTTTTTACTGTTTTCATAAAGCTGATTTTAAGGGAACACTGTTTAACCTTATCCATAATTAATGGTTACAGATTTTACATATAATGTTTTTTTACTATTTTACTAATATCACAGACATCTTTATTGTCCTGTGTACAGTTCATTATAATTCTGCTGCTAAATAACGGTGACTTTTAGACTTTGTTACTGTTTTCTGCATTTATCTACTTTGATCAGTTTTCATAGGCATGATGTTAATCTAAGAAACATGTCCCTTTTCTCCATCCTTGTTATTTTTAATCAATGTCTTATGGGTATTTCCGATGAAGTGAGAAACTAGTCAAATGGCTTTTAGGTGAATAAAACAATCCCGACGGTTAACTTTATGTCATGTAATTGAGAGGTGAGCTTAACGCAGTTGGCTTTTTTATGTATGGCACAAAAAATAGTGGATAAATACCTAGAATGGTAGCGTAGTGGTGTACATGGGTGTAAGACTTACGTCTATGACTGTCATCATTCTTTGTAATGAAGCTAGTACAAGACTATTTTTAATGCCCACAAAGCCAAGAAGTAAGGTGAGGCACTATCACTTCATAAATCTATACCGCATTTACTTGTCAGTGGGCTGCTAGCAGAAAAGACCTGTTGGTGCATATCCTGCATTCTGAAAGGTTACATTATCTATTAGAATAGCTTAAGAGAATTATTCCTATTTGTACATTTGTAGAGCGTCTGTTAATTCCAGAAGAAGAGCATGAAGTAGTCTGGTTTGACATGAGCACTTTACTGGTTAGTGTCAACAAATATTGAAAGTTAACTATGGGCTTCATATCATCTGAAGCTATGCTACTCAACATTATCAATATTAACAAATGATTCACTATTCACCATCAGTGTGATAGGCAGTAATTCATTAAGTGAAATGGTTCATTTTGTATTTATTTCTTTATGAGATATAACTCCACCGTAGTGAAAACATAGAAATTACTTTAAAATTTGCGATTTTTACATTGAAATGAAGTATCCGATATCAAGATAACGAGTGATATATATATATATATATATATATATATATAACAAAAACGAAAGAATAACCATTGGTGTTTGGAAGATACTTAGGTATAAAGCTATGATAGCTATAGAGTTTTGGCAATAATTATTCCGCATTTGGCTGTATATGTGAGCCAGCTAGTATTTTTTTTATTGAACACAGACCAACACAGAGATCAAATGCCTTTGATTATTTCTATAGAGAAATATAGATTCTAGGGGCCAGACTTACTGTGATGCTTTTCTGAATATTTACTTAGCGTATTTACTTTGTTTTATTTGCTTTCTGATCAAAACATTTGAGAAATCGGTGAGATTACATTACTAATCTTTGTGTATAACAGTACAAGTACAATAAAACAATTTCAGAATGATTCTTACTCGAAAGCTTTGAGTGTTTAAATATGAAGTGAGGTGGAAGATCTGTTCGGTTACCCGACCTCTACCTCACCACATTTACCTGTCCTAAGCATGCTTTTTGACTTCAGGCTCACTAAATTGTAGTTTCAAGGAGCATGTAAACAGTTAGTTTCTGATTCTATTACCTATGATGGCTCTTATTTGTAAAAGTGAATTAGTGACTGAAAATTCTCATTAGAAAGCTGAATTATGCAAACCATTTAATCCGTCGTTCTGAATATCGTAAATGTTATTCTCACTCATATCTGTTACTTCCACCATGAAAACAGAGGCAGTGATACTGGCAGAATGGACGATCATGCAGTAAACACTTGAAACTTCATGCAGAACTATCTCAACACGTTTGCGTTGATCTTCGGTTTTAATTACCGATTTCTGGAGCATTGGAATGCATGGAGGGAGTGCAGCTACACTTCCTGACACTATTCCTTCCTCAATAACATAACATAAGATAAGCTTTATTCCAAATCAGTACTTGTGATACAGAATGGAATTCTCAGCATTTTACTACAATATTGCATCCAGTTTTTTACATTAACAATAAATAAAGTTCTACATAGTTTAAAGTTATCTCAACAACATATTAGTATGTCGGTAGCAAAGCCAAAATTAAAGTGTTTGAAGGTGTTAGAAAAGTAGATACTACTAGCATATTTACTGGCGTAAGCGATAGCAAAATGTTCGAGATGTACAGAGTGTGAAAGAACGAACAAGAATGTTTTAAGTAGAGTTTGCAAGGAAGAGAGTAACAAAACAGCACATAACAAAAATAAATACAGAATGAAGAGCGAGAAAACGTTGTACCTATAAATGATATGAGTTGGAAAGACAAGATCCATTGGTTCTACTGACTATTTAATAAGTTAAAGGTTTCATGCCTGATGCATTCTTTATCGCACAGAACACGAGCTAAGTAGGGTATGGATGAGTTTTTGTACTTACTAGTGCGGGCATATAGTTTCCTATATAGGCTTCTTGTTTTCCCTGAAGAGATACATGGGGACAGTTGTGAATGTAGAGGGTGTTGTGAGTCAGATAAAATGGATTTCGCCCATTTTTCACATGAGTCCATATGCCTGTCCACCAGAATATTAACTAGCTGGCTAAGTGGCAAGCTGCTTACCCTGCTGACAACCTTTAACATCCTACGTAATAAGGTGATAATGTAAGGTAATAATGTTCGTTTCTCACTAAATGTGTGAGTCTAACGATCATTTTCCTCACTAACTTCTAATTCCCTCTTCCTACTAACCCTGATGGCAATTACACTACTAGACAGCTTGGCAAAGTGTTTGTACACCATAGGAAGCTTCCATCTCATCTGCAATCTAGGTCACGGGTTTATCAGTCTTTGTCTTTTCTCCTCGGCCTCGCATTAATAATCTTCCTTTTAGATAACGGCGTATACTACTTGAACTTATAGGTCGTCTAGTCTGCACATCTCTGCTTCATCACAGAACACCATACCATCGAAAGCTGTCATCATGTCTTTAAGAGTATTCTTTCGATTATCTCCGAAGTTGAGGACCTTGATCGCAAAACCCTGTAAGCCCGGTATTAGTCTGTTAAGTAACAGAACAATCTGTGCTTCAACCCAAACATTTTCAGCAATAATAAGTAGTAACATTCTCTGTTGGTTACACAAGCGGATGATGTGAGTTAGTCTGTAGATGCTATAAATCATTTTCTCCTAGAATAGCATGAAGGTGTCTTGAAACTCGCACCATGCTCCTTCTCAGTACTTATGGAGTAGAAGGAAATGAAGTCATGATCACAATTCATATCCTGGATAAATACCAACTCATCGTGTAGGGCTTTTCATTCCTTAAAGTTATAGTGTCATCATTTCTAACCGTCTTCATGGTATACGCCATCAGAACACCAATGTCTTTGTAGCCATCAGTGGATATTTTTGAGACTTGTGCCTGTCGGCGTTTCTTCGGACGACGATTTCGATTGTTTCACTGCATCGTTAACTTCATGTGTCGCACCTCTTCGGAACTCTGTGGCGTTGGTGCCCTTACTTTTATACCTCCGACTCTTTAGCTATGTACTGAGCCAAAACAGTCGCCGTCGTAGTGCTATCATCAATCTACTCATTTTTGGTCAATTAATCGAACTAGTCGCTAGTTCAGAGAATGATTTCGAGAGACATTTCAGGTGAGTGTTATTCGCATATGCAGTAGCAGAGCATAAAGGCAACAGATACTTTTAACTTAAAACTCAGCACTCTCCCATAATGGTCCAAATCACTTCAGACTACACTAGACGGCGTGGAAGTAGATATCAAGACTGTGGAATTTTTAAGTAAAAAAAGGTAAAATGTATAGAATCAACTAAAATGACATTACATTTAAGGTGAAAATAAGTTAGGAATACATCTGAATTTCACCTACATATTCTGAAACAAGTAATTTATATTCTCAAATTACATTTAGGCGGCTTACCTATGGATTGTTTTCACCCTGCCTGTTCAGTTAACTCAAGTAGCCTCCTTTAAATAACTACATTTGGTTTTGTTATCTCTAATGTCGTACATTTCACCAAGAGTAATTTTGGAATTACTTCTTTTTTGAAAAGTTTCTATCTTTGTGCAAGTTTAAAGATCTCCTCATGTCTTAAAGAAATTGAGGAATTACAACAGGTGGTATTCTGTTTGCCTGAATGATACCGGATATTTAGACTTCATTATTAGTTCATGAGAAATCAGCCATTTCCCAGTAATCAGTAATCATACCGTATAGTTCATACAATATGCTGTTATTAAGCAACTAGAAGCCGTGGTTAGGAAACCTTGGACATTATTTTTGTTTGCACTCATCTGCAACTTCTTCTTTAGGAGATATAGCCTTAAAGTGGCATCAGTGAAAATCTCTTTATTAAGATGTGTACAAAACTCTGTGGACGATCACTTTAGCTTGAGTTCCAGAAACAGAATTTACACTAACACTTGGAAATATATTTTGCCTTACAGCGGTCATTTTACATTCACGTTTTTGGCCGGGGAGTTTTATCCCTGACTTGTGCACTCCTAAACATCACCTAGCAAGTAGTAAGTCCGGTAGGGGGGAGGGCAGGAAATCAGGGAGTGAGACTAGCAACGCCACCCTGTGAAACACAAATACCAGTGTTACTAAAACCTCAAATCTCAACTGTGAAGCTCCATGTTCCATTGGGATTACCGTGATAGAATAAAAGTGTTCAACAGTTTTGCTAATGTTTGTGAAAAAAACGTTGAGATCACAAAAATCTAGAATAATTGTAATGTAATGTGCATATAATTCACAGTAAATTAAAGCATAGGATGTTTTTCATTCCGTATTTACTCAATTTGGACTAAACTACAACTTAACTGACTGTTACTATAGATTACTGAGTAAAAGGGCAGGATGTTATTGTTTTGTATATTAAAATCAATTTATCCTAGTGTAACAACAGAAGACAAGGGCCAGGCAACAGATCGTTTTATTATGAAAATCAACACGTATTTATACATCTTTCAACTACATTATTATAGACAAGCGCAGTCATCTGATTGGTTGTTTAGGTAGACAAACGCAGGCTTCTGATTGGTTGTTTCGGGATTCCTTGACAAATAGAGTTCTCTCTGCGAATCATATTCTGCCACGTTAACTTTGCTGTGATTGGTTGTTGACTCAGGCTTGTTCATATTTTCTCACGGCCCATATTAGTGACCTAGACCTTAACGTAGATTAGTGCTAACCAATCGGCTAGCAGCCTGCTCTCACCACACTCGTCCCCCCGTCAAATACGTGCGACTGAAGTCGGCTTGATCTACTTGGTGCAGGCGTCATCGTTGGCTTGTCTCGCTGTATCCATTTCTGGAGCTCGCTGACGTTCACGCGCCTCTCATTGTTCGCCATTGCGACTGTGTCTGCGTAACCCCATCTCGAAGTGACCATATATGGTCCTTCCCACTTTGGAAACTGTTTGCCTGACCCTGTCGAACATTCGTCCATACTTCGGCCCACACCTTCATATGCTGCTTTCGCCCGACCTCCCAGCAGCGTCTCAAGTAGCAGCTCCATCGCTGACAGATCTTGAACGCCACTCAACTGCGCAGAAGCCTTGAAGTCCTGCCCGAAGATCCAAATGTCTCCATCAAAAACTGCAGGGTATAGGCTTTTCATTTGTCGGTAGGCAGCGACACCAAATGTAACAACAGAAGACAAGGGCCAGGCAACAGATCGTTTTATTATGAAAATCAACACGTATTTATACATCTTTCAACTACATTATTATAGACAAGCGCAGTCATCTGATTGGTTGTTTAGGTAGACAAACGCAGGCTTCTGATTGGTTGTTTCGGGATTCCTTGACAAATAGAGTTCTCTCTGCGAATCATATTTTGCCACGTTAACTTTGCTGTGATTGGTTGTTGACTCAGCCTTGTTCATATCTTCTCACGGCCCACATTAGTGACCTAGACCTTAACGTAGATTAGTGCCAACCAATCGGCTAGCAGCCTGCTCTCACCACACTAGTAGCACTAATAGCTAGTCAGAATACTTAGTTGTATAAAATTAAAACATTTTACATACCTTCCTCCTACAGTTAATTTTTGTATAGCGAAATAGTAGGTCAATAGAGTATCTCTTTCAGCTCCACGTTCATCACCAAAGGTATGCATTTTCTTTAGTTCAATTCGAATTTGACTTGCCGTACTCCAGCGCTGCGATAAAAATTACAATATCGACAAATATAGAGCATTATATCATCCAAGTAAGTTAGATACATAAGCAAATATAACGTAAGAAGACAGGGATCAGTGTAGAAACGATCTTGACAATACTCTAGTTTAGTATGCTATATTTTTAAGCAGATAAATGTATTTCCGGGTATCTGCTTTGTGGGGATTGGGTTTATTTCAAGTCTGGACCACTGAAAACCACCAAGGAGTACTAAACATTTGTTTCGTCCTAGTTTGGGACTCTTCAGGATTACTCACGACCCAACCAGATATCGTAACCAAGACTCCCAGGTTACGAAGTAAAGCTTCTTAACTGTTCGGCTACTTGGGCTGGAATCCAGTGGCCCATGAAGTTTACCTTCTGTCTGCTAACGAATTAGATGTCTAGTACTACCTGGTTTTCAGCGATTCTCTAAATGAAATCAATCTGTGATGAAACCTGAAACATAAATGTGTAATCAACAGAAGTAGGATACTATTATAAGTGATCATAATATTTTATAACTAACTTGATCTCAGAATAAAGATGATGACATTGACAGAATGGGTTATACATGAATTTCTGTCATATATGTATTGTTTATTAGAATGCATTTGTTACAGTCACTAACATGATAAAAAATATTCCTTAGATTACAGTTGTAGTTACCGTTTTCTTTATCCAAGGAGACTTGACTGCAACATTAGTATCATTCTTGTTATTACCACGATTACTAAGATAGTAGGGAGGATTCATTAGAAATACGTGAAAGTTCTCCTCAGCAACGCTACAATGAACTAGCTCGAGAATCAAGTAGTTTTCCTGATAAACGAAATCTGAGTAGCATCAAATTAATCATTTAGTTTTCAATAATGGTATCTGTATGATTCCTGTACAATCACCATATAAGTCTCTTAAGACTCCCTATAAAGATGAAATACTCTGTTTGTAGGTATTTACGATTATCTCATGTATGCTGAATTAATTAAGAGTTATTCTGTGATAGTGGATGAGTGGTCATAATATGAACAGATTCAACTAACTACAAAAATGTATATTATTATGATAGATGCACCATGTAGTTAATGTTTTCAGTAATTATAGTACTCATAAATGGTAGCTATTAATGCAATCCAGAATGTTCGTTCCAGGCCTATTCAGGACTCTGCAGCTGATGTATCTGCTTCGTGGTGAGTGATATGATTCTTTGTTTCGTTTTTTATAAAATTCTTTATTGAAAAGTATTTTTTTTTTCATTGTCCACATGAAGTTCAAGAGGTGTTCACAATCTTACAAACTATGATATTTTCTCCTGTTGCAATATTTTACCAGTTAGCTTTTTGACCTAATCAATAAATTCCTGAGAAACTGACAGGAAAATATAACATCAGATTTTAAGTGGTCATCAGAAAGCCATAAACTCAAATTTCCTACCTATCGGAAATCATTATAAAGTCCCACAACTATCCAGAGATTCTACCAGGCATCAACTAGCGTTGAAATTGGAGACATTATACTGGAGTGGTTATGCTGCGACAGACCGCCTGTAGGACTATGATGAATCCATTGATTAGTCACCGGCGAGTAACCAACAACATGTGCCTAGTCCAAAGTTCTGACTGAATTTTATCAGTGAAGTTGGCAGTGTGGTCATCAAGTTAGGTCACTCACTAGCGGTGTATCATTATTAATAAAAGGCTACTTCTAGAATTGTATTTTTCTCCGATAAGAAAAATAACACTTCCTAGCTATTATCCTTGTTGAATGAATTCGAAAAAAGTATCACTGTCAAATTTATGCAAATTAAATTTATTTTAAGTAGTCACTCCAATATACAGATAGAAAATGATAGTTAGGTAAATGAAATCTACTAGTCAACCTTAAACAGTTTATTTTTTTTATGATAAAACAGGATCTTCTTAAAGAGAGAGAGAGAGAGTAATTTAATGACTACTATTCAACAAAAGCTGTTTAAGTTAACGAATTCTTTCAATATTAGATAGCATTTTGGACTGCTTAGTCCAGTGGATAAGAGAGAAGATGCTTGGGTGTGTGACTTTATATAGAGGAATGCTTTCATTACTAACTAGGATGCAGATACATTCAACTGATTAGCCTCAAATAAAACAGAATCAGTCTCCTATATTTGAATGGTGACCGCGCATCATTTTTAGACGTGTCTACTGTATGAATTGATATACCAAAAGAGTCCAGCGAAATCAGCTTACGTTGAACAGACAACAAGAAATTGTGTAAGCATCACTAATTAAAAAATTCAGTAGGATCTGAATGAATTTTAAAACGATTCCAGTTATACAATTAAAGAACGAGTGAGAATTCTCAGTTTCATCCAACTCAATACTTAGACAGTTATGCTATTTCAAAATTTGTTTTCGTTCACTTCTTGTTAGCACTTAAAAGTATGGTCTTCGGATAGTGTCTTCATTTGGAAATATATTGTAAGGTGAGAAACACTAAGCTCACATATTTCCCACTCTCTCCCTAGAATCCTATACACTACAAAGTAAAGTAGTGAACAAAATCTATTGGGATCAGTTAACTTCTTTTGTTGATTCCCTATATCGTATTACTATCTATCAATGGAGTTTAGGACTGTTTCAATCTTATGCACCGTAGAAATCGACCTAGGCCTGTTCTAAAATGTTTACGCAACTGAAACCTATCGAGAAAGAATATATCCTCTTTTAATTCTAGTGGTTCTTAAATTAATATTGGTTTCTTTTAAGCAACATAAGTATACAAGATATCTATCAATCGTGAGTCTAATCCTTACTGTTCCCCTTAGCTCTGGTATCAAGACTCAAATTCAGTCTATTTTTAAGACTTCAATGAATCTTCAAGACACTTATTTTAGATATTTACTGGTGGTTCTCTTTGTACTACATTTATAATGTCAGACCTACAGTAATTGACGTCATCTCAGAGACTAAGGCAGCTAAGGTGGAAATTCAACATGACTATTTGATATTGGCTACAATAACGTATGATTGAGATAGTGCAGATAATATTATCCAAAAGAACTCATTTTTAACTGATTTTGTTGAAGAATTCTGAAGAATCCTTTTGACAAAAAATAAAATAGCTTCAAAGAAATGGAAGCAGAATCGCTTAAATCAGCCAGATCTACTCTTATGTGTGATTCGCGACTATATCTTACTATTAATCATTTGGTTTATGCACTACAGTCTGGTCATTATTTCTGATCAAGACTATATCATGGACCTAACGTAGTAAACATTTCCATTAATCAGCAGTTATACATCTTGTAAGCTTCATATATTATGGTTCAGTTGACAAATATTTCAAACTACAAGACATAGAAGTTCAGCACAAATTGCTTCCTAAATCTTAGTTTTCTTCTAGCTGAACGCAATGATATTTATCGACTGAGGTCTTCTCCCTGGCCAACAAATACCCCTATAACATACTATAATACAGAAACTTGAAGGTAGTCCGGCAAAAATGTCATATCCTGGTGTACGTACTTAAACGTAACTTCGATAGGATCATTAGAATGCTATGAATCAATTGTTAGACACTCCCTGCTGGATATCTCATAGTAATTTGTACTCTTGCAGATCATTATTTCAGTCCATGTTAACTTCCAGATCCCTGAAACCTTCACCAACTTTAGCTTTTATTTCGTTCCACCTATATTACTATTTTGATATCTGTTTTGCTGTTATTTTCCTGTAATTTGTGTGTGTGCTTTTCAGAAGTGTGGCAACCTAAACTGATATACTTCTGCTTATCAAATAATTCTATTGCATTTATAGCTTAAATATTCCAACCGAATTACTGACTTTTAATTTTTACACTTTGATGAATAAATTCATTAAACTTAAAACAACTTACCTGTAGCTCTAAATCAGTGAAAAACTTATCATAATTTGGTCGTCCATTTATAACGGAAAAGATAACTTCACCCTCATACAATGGTTGTAATGTTGAATATTCTTCATAACAAATTAATTCATCCGGTTTATTGAATACTGGGATATGACTGTATGTCATACCAAAGTATGTATAACAATTACTCGAGAAGTATGCCCATGGTGTCCATTCTGAATTATCATCAAATCGTTTGTGTATAACCATTGCGTGTGGACGTGGTGATTTAAACTGCAAGTAGACATAGTTCACATGAAATTGTGTGCCTGAAATATAATTTTATGCAAAGAAAATCTATGATGACAATACATATATGGATATATATATATATATATATGAGCAGCTGAAATCACTCTTTCAAGATTTTCAGGCAGTATAAATTTTGTGCCCAATGAAACTGATTAAAGATTTATAAACAAATCTGTATCTAGTGGCTTTGTGTCAGTCGATTTAGCCTTATGAGTCCACTGGAAGAAACACTGTTTTGGTTGGTAGTTAAGGTGGACATAAATACCTATAACTCAGTGTCATACTGACGTGGAAAATGCCTAAAGAAATTCCTCAAAGCATAACACGCTTCCACGACTATGTCTTCACTCTACTCAAACCTCACTAAAACAACTTGTAATACATAATAGTACTGTTAATAGGAATGCATTTAGTTGTCAGTCATTTATTTGTTATTTTCAGAATCTAGTCACACAGTCATGATTACAGACCATCCCATACCTTTGCAGAGAAGTTCATAATATCAACCTTTTGCATTCTGAAACAGAACAAAATTTAGACGTAAAATTAAGATGGTGTTAAAATTAATAAAACTATTAATGCATAAGGAGAAGGAGGGTAATCTGAAATTTTCAGTGAAGAGTTAATACATCTTTAAGGGATCTTTCTGATGATATAAAATAATTAATGAAGCCTGAAAGTAACGCTATTCAAGACATGTAAATTTTTGGAAACAGCCACTTTGTATTTTGCCGCAAATCTTTAAAACTATTCAACCTCGGGCTAAGTATTTTTCTTTGACTACACAAACTTTGCTGTTGCACTTGTCTGACTATAATAATGGATTCTACTACGATTTGAGTCTTACTTTAACAATCGAAATTCCTCATGAATCACCACTAATTACAGAACTATAGAGAGACAAGAACCACTAAACAGTTGTTTTTTCTCCGTTCAGACTATTCTGTTGTGTGTATCGGTTGGCTTGCATCAAAGTTGAGACCCTCACATTTTACAGCAAGGGAATTATCATACGAAATAGTTACCATCGGTTAGACCTGGTGATTAAAGGAACTCAGAGTCAAAGTACCATCATATTCTAATACCATACTAAAGTAATAATCTAAATGATATGGAATTCGATAAGTCTGAACTAGGTCCTATTCTATATTATAACTAGATGTAACAATCATCCACCTGTCCTAGAATTTTAGTTACTCTTTAACTGATTTTTCTTGCCAGTGGAGGTGTTTAAAATCTCTCGATCTAGCACAGTTTATTTCCATGCTTTGAAATAAGTATGACTATCTGCTTAATATCATGAACAAAGACTGAAAAAGAATAATACACTTTTGAGTCTTTTGTCGTCAGGACTCAAAGTAAGTAGCCTGTTGGGTGGAAGTGCACATGAATTTTGGAATCGAGAAACGAATAAGTTGTGCCATCATCAATGTTTGCCTTTCTTTATATTTCCCCCGCTACGATAAGTATTTTTGTGAGTTAATGCCAGATAGAGTCACTAGAATCAGTCGTTGTACGTACTGGTTTTTATCTCGCTCATTCCTTTGCGAAGTCACTCATATAAAGTGCAAGTGGAAATAGCTTTCCGTGAAAGAAATGAACAGTGGGACGCAGCAGCGAATAAATAAATTGTATTCGATATATATTTTTCTGAAACATTTTATCTTATACAAATAAATGGTAAATTTTCATATGTTCGTAAAATGAATGCAGTGATTAAATTTCGAAAATGCCTTTTAGTCAGACATGCATATTTAAATGAAGATGTGAGACTTTGTTGTTCTTTTGTTTCTAGATGGAGGAGAACAAGGTAGCCACTAAAACAGGATGGAAGTTATCTAACTTTAAAATTTTCCATTTTAAAACAGTATTTTTGTACATCATTAGGTGCCATCAATATTCTTAGCTGTATATGGTCATACAATCTCCTTGCATACCGTTCTATTACAGTTCTGTCCTGATATAATGCAAGTTTCGAACTTTGAAAAACTGCCTTAGACATTTTTAGGTCTTGGGTATGTTTGGATAAACGAACACAGTTAACTCTATATGCTATTATGGTGTGAAGTGAAAGGAAAGAGACAAATAAATTATTCTTATCCACTGTAAATACTTTGGAGTTAGTGACTTACTCCTCTTTATTATTTCTAACTTACAAAATCAATACTCTTCCTCAAAACTCCAATAAACAGGCATTTTTTAGTAAACTCCTTCTCTACTTAAAAGGTAGGGACAGATAAGTGGGGGTAATAGAGCTTATGTCCTGTTTCTTGGTTTATTTCCTTCCTTCGCGTTCCTAGTGGGACACAGGGCTCTGGGCTTGAGCGATGGCGTCTGATTGACAGTAGTGTTTATTTTAATTGTTCCCAACCTTCTCTTTCTACAGGACCTACTACCGTTTATTCGAGGTCTTAGGAGTACGTTAGCCGGGATCTAATGCTGGCCAACATGTGTGGTTGGCAAGTTTTGTGCCAGTAGACCAGTGAAGTACTACATTTCCTATAGTTAATATAGACAGGAAGTCATGACTTTGTCCAGTAATGTAAGTAACTCTGGGCTTAACAAAGTTATGGATATTTTGGAGCATTTGATAAGGAAATGTATACCAGGAATTTAAACAGGAGTGAAAAATCAGAATCTCTTTACGAACGAGACAAGACTGGCTATTGACTTAAGAGTATAATGTTAGTGGTACCACATATTTTGGCTAGATTATTTATTCACCAGCCTTCCATAAACTCAGTAGACACTCAGCTTAGAAGAGATATTTTATAACAATATTCAATAAAACAGAGAATCAACTTGTTTAACACTAAAAGAATGAGTTTACTGTTCGTATTTCACCAGTGACATCAAACAGTAAGCATTAATAAAGATGACTGCATGAAGTTTTAGCTAAACTTTGTCGCAGAAGGAGCAGGTAATTCTCTCACAGAATAGACATTTAACGTAATAAGTAAAAATAGCTCATTAATTGCAACAGCGTTAACATTTCGCCACATGTGTGACTGAAATTAAATTCTATGTGCAATGGAATATTGAGAGATTATTATTCTTCTGGCTATTTCGGCTGCTGCTGATTAATGGCGCCTGATAAATCATGAAGACAAATGAATTGACACTCTGAAAGGATAAGGAAATTTGGGTTCTGATAGCAAAATATTTGCTGCCAAACAATCTCAATGATTCTGTCTAGCATAACTTAACTATATATTTATAGTTCTCAACATCCATCTACGTGTTACTGAACACACAATCAATGAACTGTGGAAAGTGACAGTTAGACAAAATGTTGGAATGGGTATTGGTGCAAGAAAATATATCCACTATGCTCAGAATTAAGGAACACAAAAACACAACTGATGAGAATTTAATCGGGTTATGACGGAAAAAACTAGTTTTTAGAAAAGCACCAGAAGTTTGAAAAAAGTGACATTTAAATTAAAAATCTCACAATTCTTCGCAAAATAAAATCTAAAAAGAAATTTTCAAAGCTTTTACACAGGAGTTTGTGACTTAAGAAACCACAGGCCAGTGATGTCAGTATGATATCCTCTGATGCGTATGTGTTAACCTAATTTCAGACTAGGAGCACTTAAGGTAAGTCTTTTAAGTTAGAAAAGGCCTACAAAGCCTTAAGAGCTATACTCTCATGGAGTTCACTAAAGCTTTTCTGAAGTGTTGCGTGATAAAATCATGCATTTTTGAACAGCTTTACGCGAATGTTTCCATCCGTTAAAACAGAAGCTTTGTTTGCTATTGGAACTAATCTACAACGCATATTTCAGCCATCGGATTACATTTTAAAATTAACAGACCCTCAGGAATACTTCCTGTGTGAATATCTAGTGTGCATATATATATATATATGCATGTAAACGGCAGAAGAAAAGAATCGTAAAGTGACTAACGATATCTGTGTCGGAGACATGAAGCATAATGATTACGGACCTGACCTATTCTCTCCTTTCCTTTCCACCAGGTCGGAACACCTTAGATAACATAGCAGGAGAGTTCAAAAGCCAAGAAGAAATCATATTGCTGTTGACTACTGGTTCTCACACCGAGTCATAAACTCTTGGAACCGACTCCCAGAAGAAGTGGTGTCTGCAGCCTCAACTGATTCATTCAAGAAGGGTTTGGACAACCACAGAAATCTACTAGAAAATGATTAGCATATGCTCCAAGCCTTCTATCCTCAACCAATCAATCTGAATGAATAATTAATCACAAAGTACTTTTGTTACTTAAAATCGACAAGAGCAAGTGCTAATAAACTCATATCTGCTAAAATTTCGGTGTCTTACCAAGATCAACAGTCAGGTTTACAGAATCTTTAAAATGAAGAAGTTTGTTGTCAGCCATAGTTTCTGACTGCCACCAGTTGTTGGGATTTTTATCAGTCATATATTCCGCAGGATGACTTTCATCTGGGTTACGCGCGTCACAATATTGGCACCTGCTTGCCATTCCGGAGTTTGACATATGTATGCAATATTTCTGTCTCCCTTTTTCACCACATGTATTGGTAGCTATAACTTCCCTGTCGGCTGCAGCACTAGTAAATGGAGGATAACACATTTGTGGTCTTCCACTTGTATCAACACATTCACTTGACACCCATCTTGTGTCAAACGGCTCCTGTAGGCTGACAAGTTTAATTGAGAGCAAAAAGATGAGACATTTAAGCCAAAGCACACTCATATTGGAGTGCAGATAGCGATATTGCATCGCAAAATTCACAAAAGCGCTTCGGAATGTGTAGGTCGTGTCTTCAAAAGCTATCAGCTCAAACAAAGAACTTGAAAAGAAAAAATTTAACAAAAAGTTGTGTTTTCTGGAATGATGCGTTTTACCGTGTTTATATATGATTCAGTGTTGTTTATCAGGATTTTAGGGATTTTTTCTTAAGACAACTTTTTTAAAACCTGGTCAACATCACCAAGCAATAATTTTATCTTTCGTAAAACCATCAACATAGGATCTTCTAGCATGTTTGAAGTAGGCACTTTATATTTTCAGGGGACTACTTTTTGTTCTAATTTCAGTTTGTTCCCACAATGTCAGTAGTGCTAAGCTGGTGGTAAGGGGCTTCTGAAATATCCTAGAAATTGGAGATTAGTTGTGTCACCAACGATGTGTAAATTGACATTGTAAAGTCTTCCAGTCGCTTGGCCATTCTAATGGATTTAGTGAACATAAGATTTCAGATTGATTGGTTGAGGATAGAAGGCTTGGAGCATATGCTAATCATTTTCTAGTAGATTTCTGTGGTTGTCCAAACCCTTCTTGAATGAATCAGTTGAGGCTGCAGACACCACTTCTTCTGGGAGTCGGTTCCAAGAGTTTATGACTCGGTGTGAGAACCAGTAGTCAACAGCAATATGATTTCTTCTTGGCTTTTGAACTCTCCTGCTATGTTATCTAAGGTGTTCCGACCTGGTGGGAAGGAAAGGAGAGAATAGGTCAGGTCCGTAGTCGTTATTTAAAACATTGTGATTAAATTTCTTCTCTGCTTACGGTATGACAGGGAAAGAGATTTAGACCGTCTGGACTTTCCTCGTATGATAAGTTAGTCATGCCATGGACCATATGTGTTGCCTTCCTTTGAACCTTTTCTAGAATTTGTTAGTCCGCTTTAGGACAAGGACTGGCGGCCTGGATGCAGTTTTCCAGTTTGACCTCAACAGAGATGTATATAAGGAGGTGAACATATCTCTGGGGATTCTAGCAAAGACACTTCGAATTGCCAATAAGGACCTGAAACGACATGCAGCCACCGTGTGACAGTGGGCTGTAGTTTTAAAGTCTTAGCTAACAATGACACCTAAGTCCAAGTGAGTCTGAAATGATAGAAGTGATTTTCCGTCTAGTCCGTAGGGGCTCGTGCCTGCTTGCACATTGTTGCATATTTTGTCACATTTATCGGGAGCATCCATTCTTTGGACAACTCTGAAAATTTATCGAGGTTCTCTTCCAATATGAACACTAAACGGTTAAATTCAGTTCTGCAAATGTAGTCAAAGATTGAACGATCGATTCATGTGTGTTTGCTCAAACACAACTCTATATTTTGTCGGGAGTCACCGATACCGAAATCATCGTTTCATCGTTCGCTGTTCTTTGGAGGACAGAGAAAAACTATCAGAAGTATTGTTGTGATTTATACTGTTATGACATTTATTCTTAGACTTTGTGCACAATAACCTTATGGTTGGCTCTGTATTTGTGCGAGAATAAAGGGTTCTTGAGTCACCGATTTGTGTTCTGGATTTTTGCGTTGGTTATTGCGCATAGTTCCTGAAAGTCTTCCAAGGACAGTGTGAAGTCCAGTGTAGTTAGACCTGGACATTGACAGTTTCTGATAATTCTCCTGGAATTATTCGTCCTATTTATTTTTAATTCGTCTTTCCTCGCGTCTGCGAGTCTTCTTTGGACAAGCGTTATTTGGAACTCTTCTGAATTGTTTGGTCGAGTTCAATGATGCCTGGGTCAGAGAGAGAACAAAGCAGTTGGGAAACAGACAAAACAGTAAGTAACGATGTGTTGCCTGTTAATTGTAATGATATGCATGATGCTTAGTATGATGAGTCTGATGTTCATGCTTCGCCGTTTAGGTATAGTAAGGGTTTAAAGTTACCCAAGTTTGAACCTCGATACCTTGATGGAAACCCAGCCGACTACCCACAGTTTATCAAGGAGTTTGAGGTCATTCTGAGCGGTTTCATCTCAAATGACGAAGTGAAGTTATTGTATTTTTTGAGGTACCGCACTGGTGTTGCTTCAAGAGCTATACTGTTCTGTAAGGTTGTGCCTCCAAACGAAGGATGTACTGAGGCGATGCGTATCCTTTGTCAAAGGTTTGGAAGACCTGCGATGATTGTAAGGAATGCATTTGAGGCTGTCAAAGGTAATGGTAGTCAATTACGAGATGACTCCAAGGCGCTCACTGAGTTTCTGGTAATATGATGACCTACAAGAAAACGTTGATTTCGATGAATTGCATGAGCGATCTGAACTCAAGTTCCGTCCTAGAGGTAATAGCGAGACGCCTACCCACTCGACTGCAAAGGAAGTTGATGAAGATAAGCTCTCGTATAGAGGACGAAGGTTTAGAGGCAGGGTTAGGCGATATACTGAGATTAGTGACAGACTATGAAAAAATTCACCAGTATATTGCATCCGGCTTCTAAGAATAAGAGATCAGCGAGCACACTACAATCATTTATGACGAAGGGGTCTCAGAGAAGTGGATATCGAGAAAACTCTAAGGTGTCTAGTAATCGATACAAACCTAATGAGTGTGACAGCTTTTGTGGGACGTCCCCAACAGATAATAATAATATACTCCCATTTTGTATATGAGCGACGCCAGTTTACAGGCATCATCAATATGATAATTTACATATACGATTGGTAGGCATATTTAATAATAATGATTTAATAAAATACATATTTTTTCCTACATGTGTAGGACACACCAATTGTACAAGCATGGATGAGTATCATCTAAATTACATAAATTTGGTTTATGGTTAAATTACATGGTTGCTGTCATTTATGTCTATGGTTTGTGGGAACAATATGATAACTAGACATTCAATGGAGCACATCAAGAATACTGTGAGATACCATGTCAAATGCCCTAGATATATCGAAGCAGAGAACAACGACTAGCTTACGCGCTTCGCGACTACTAGTGATGCAGTTGAAAAAGTCGAAGTGGCAAGTAACGCAGGATCTATTTTTGAGAAATCCGTGTTGAGACTTTGTAACAAGATCTTCCCTAAGTAGGTAGTCTGACAATTGATCTTTTACAACTTTCTCCATGATTCGTGAGATAACTGGGGTTATATTTATGGGTCTGTAATTGCAGATGTTTGCCTTATCACCAGATTTGTAGTGTGGAATTGTGAAGCTAGTTTTCCACTCACTAGGGTAAGTGCCAGTGTCCATAGATATTGAGAAGAATTTAAGAAGTAACAGGGGTATATCACACCCACTGTTTTTGAAAATTATTGAAGCAAGGCCATCTGGTCCCGTACTAGTGGAAGGTTTACGGCTTTTAATTGCTTGTTCTATTAATTGATTAGTGGACACATTGCTTTCGAGGGAAGAGCTAGTAACGGGGCGGTTTCAGCAGGCATACGTGTTTCTAAACTAAAGTTTGGAAACCAATCACTGAACAGTTCACAGATGGTGGCAGGCTCATTGTAGATTATTTTGTCGTGAAGTAAGTAGGGGATTTCTCTCTTCGACTGCATTCTTTTTTAAGAGGTGCTGTTAAGTTATAAACTTTGGAGGTACTTTCAAGTGCCGTTAACTCTTCTTCGAGGTCCTTTTGAGACCGTAGGCGCTTGATAAATTCAAGAGACTCGTGGAGTGATTGCAGTAGCGATAGATCTTTGGTGAACAAATACTGTTTCTTCAACTTCCTTAACTTATTGCGGTATGCCCTTGGAATGTATTAAGCTTGGTGTGTACTTAATTTCACTACCTTCTTAGGAGCGACGGTATCTAGACAAAGGGTAACATTTCTGCAAAATAGGGACACCACAGCCTCCGGGGAGTCAGTGGTAAAATAGTCGTCCCACTGAGAGAGTCGAATGAGTTCTTGGACTAATCCCCGGCCTGTATGCTTGTAACTACCACATATCATCCTCCCTGAATCTTGTTTGTTCCCTCTATTTAGTGGTGAGAAAGGAAGAGAGCAGAGTACCATTCTATGGTCACTAATGGAAAACCTGTTACCAACATAGGTGGAGGCCGGGATTGTGTCATGACAAAACACAGGATCCAACATGCTGTCACCACGGGTAGGTATCTGGACGTGTTGTTGCCATCCATAACAGTCGATATTGACAAGTGATTCGTCGAAGCGTTGGGGGTCGGAACTACTTAACCAATTGACTTCTTGAAGATTGAGGTCCGCTGCAATTATTTTGTAATTAGTACTAAACGATGAGGCGTGTACAAACGATTTAGCTATTAACGCATCACTTTCCTTGGTTGAGCTTGGTGCTCGATAAACACAGTCTATGAGAAGTTTGTACTTATCTCCATGTAAGATGACCCAGAGTGAATCGGGTACCTCGTTTGGTATTTCATCTTACACCTTACTGACTACGAATGAGTTATTTAATATATATATATATATATATATATATATATATATATATATATATATATATATATGAGACATCCTCCACCACGCTTGCATTCTCTGTTTGCATGGTATACAATGTAATCATCGATACCTATATGCACATCAAGTATAGAGGATGAGCACCATGATTCAGTAATCGGAGCTACAGTAGGCTTGGCGATCAATAATAATGTCCTTAGTCCAGATATCTTATTGATTAAGGAACGTGCATTAATTAGCAATATCGTGAATAAGTCACGGGATACTACAAACTGGCTTAAAATGTCGCCATAACCTAAATCTATCTTTGCGTCAGCACCGCAAGAGTTTATGAATGATAGGGGGTCGGATTGGGTGTCTGTACATCGGGGTTGGAGTGCAATGAGGTGGTCCTAGGTGCCATGGGCCGTACCAGTGATTCGGAACACCTGGAAAATTTACCATGTGATCTTGGATATAAGGGTAATAGAGGTTGGGCCTGGGTTGATGGTTAAAAAGCATAGCATCAAAAGGTCTACCCATCCTCTGCTATTCGTCATACCGGTATACACCTTCGTGTTGTTTTTACTGTGAGGGAGGGTGCTTTGGTTGCAAGACTTTGGGGGTCTTGGGGCCTGACTTTCTATTAGGTG